TGTCAGTTACATTGGTCACTGGAGGGTACCTCAGACCAGTAGTGTGGACATGTCAGTTACACTGGTAACTGCTACCTCAGACCAGTAGTGTGGACTGTCAGGGTCACTGGAGGTTACCTCAGGCCAGTAGTGTGGACATGTCAGTTACACTGGTCACTGGAGGGTACCTAAGACCAGTAGTGTGGACATGTCAGTTACCCTGGTCACTGAACGGTACCTCAGACCTGTAGTGTGGACATGTCAATTACCCTGGTCACTGGAGGGTACCTCAGACCAGTAGTGTGGACATGTCAGTTACCCTGGTCACTGGAGGGTACCTCAGACCAGTAGTGTGGACATGTCAGTTACCCTGGTCACTGCAGGGTACCTCAGACCAGTAGTGTGGACATGTCAGTTACCCTGGTCACTGAACGGTACCTCAGACCTGTAGTGTGGACATGTCAGTTACCCTGGTCACAGGAGGGTACCTCAGACCAGTAGTGTGGACATATCAGTTACACTGGTCACTGGAGGGTACCTCAGACCACTAGTGTGGACATGTCAGTTACATTGGTCACTGGAGGGTACCTCAGACCAGTAGTGTGGACATGTCAGTTACCTAGATCACTGGAGAGTACCACAGACTAAAAGTGTAGACATGTCAGTTACCCAGGTCACTGCAGGGTACCTCAAACCAGTAGTGTGGACAAGTCAGTTATCCAGGTCACTGGAGGGTTCCTCAGACCAGTAGTGTGGACATGTCATTTACCCTGGTCACTGGAGGGTACCTCACACCAGTAGCATGGACATGTCAGTTACCCTTTTCACTGCAGGGTACCTCAGACCATTAGTTTGGACATGCCAATTACACTGGTCACTGATACCTCATCACACTAGTAGTGTGGACATGTCAGTTACCCTGGTCACAGGAGGGTACCTCAGACCAGTAGTGTGGACATATCAGTTACACTGGTCACTGGAGGGTACCTGAGATCAGTAGTGTGGATATATCAGTTACCCTGGTCACTGGAGGTTACCTCAGACCTGTAGCTTGGACATGTCAGTTACCCTTGTCACTGCAGGGTACCTCAGACCTTAAGTGTGGACATGTTGGTTACCCTAGTCACTGAACGGTACCTCAGACCAGTAGTGTGGACATGTCAGTTACCCTGGTCACTGCAGGGTACCTCAGACCAGTAGTGTTGAAATATCAGTTACCCTGGTCATTTCAGGGTACCTTAGACCAGTAGTGTGGACATATCAATTACACTGGTCATTGGAGGGAACCTCAGACAATAAGTGTGGACATGTCAGTTACCCTGGTCACTGAACAGTACCTCAGATCAGTAGTGTGGACATGTCAGTTACCCTGGTCACTGGAGGGTACCTCAGACCAGTAGTGTGGACTTATCGATAGCACTGGTCACTGGAGGGTACCTAAGACCAGTTGCATGGACATGTCAGTTACCCTAGTCACTGAACGGTACCTCAGACTAGTAGTGTGGACATGTCAGTTACCCTGGTTACTGAACGGTACCTCAGACCTGTAGTGTATACATATCAGTTACCCTGGTCACTGGAGGGAACCTCAGACCACCAGTAGTGTGGACATGTCAGTTACCCTGGTCACTGCACGGTACCTCAGACCATTAGTGTGGACATGTCAATTACACTGGTCACTGGAGGGAATCTCAGACTAGTAGTGTGGACATGTCAGTTAGCCTGGTCACTGGAGGGTACCTCAGACCAGTAGTTCGGACATGTCAGTTACCCTGGTCACTGGAGGGTACCTCAGATCTTAGTGTGGACATGTCAGTTACCCTGGTCACTGAACGGTACCTCAGACATTAAGTGTGGACATGTCAGTTACCCTGGTCACTGAACGGTACCTCAGACCTGTAGTGTGGACATGTCAATTACCCTGGTCACTGGAGGGTACCTCAGACCAGTAGTGTGGACATGTCAGTTACCCTGGTCACTGAACGATACCAGTAGTGTGGACATGTCAGTTACCACTGTAGTGTGGACATGTCATGTGGACATGTCAGTTACCCTGGTCACTGGTGCGGTACCTAAGACCAGTAGTGAGGACATGTCAGTTACCCTGGTCACTGAACAGTACCTCAGACCTGTAGTGTGGACATGTTGGTTACCCTGGTCACTGAGCGGTACTTCAGACAAGTAGTGTGGACATGTCAGTTACCCTGGTCACTGGAGGGTACCTCAGACCAGTAGTGTGGACATGTCAGTTACCCTGGTCACTAACCTGTACCTCAGACCTGTAGTGTGGACATGTCAATTACACTGGTCACTGAACGGTACCTCAGACCAGTAGTGTGGACATGTCAGTTACCCTGGTCACTGAACGGTACCTCAGACAAGTAGTGTGTACATGTCAGATACCCTGGTCACTGGAAGGTACCTAATACCAGTAGTGTGGACATGTTAATTACCCTGGTTACTGAGCGGTATCTCAAACCAGTAGTGTGGACATGTCAGTTACCCTGGTCACTGGAGGATACCTCAGACCAGTAGTGTGGACATGTCAGATACCCTGGTCACTGGAGGGTACCTCAGACTAGTAGTGTGGACATATTGGTTACCCTAGTCACTGAACGGTACCTCAGACCTGTATTGTGGACATGTCAGTTACCCTGGTCACTGAACGGTACCTCAGACCAGTAGTGTGGACATGTCAGTTACACTGGTCACTGGAGGGTACCTCAGACATGTAGTGTGGAGATGTCAGTTACCCTGGTCACTGGAGTTTACCTCAGACCAGTAGCTTGGACATGTCAGTTACCCTTGTCACTGTAGGGTACCTCAGACCTTAAGTGTGGACATGTTGGTTAACCTAGTCACTGAACGGTACCTAATACCAGTAATGTGGGCATGTCAGTTACCCTGGTCACTGAGCGGTACCTCAGACCAGTAGTGTGGACATGTCAGTTACCCTGGTCACTGCAGGGTACCTAAGACCAGTAGTGTGGACATGTCAGATACCCTGGTCACTGGAAGATACCTAAGACCAGTAGTGTGGACATGTCAGTTACCCTGGTCACTGAACTGTACCTCAAACCAGTAGTGTGGACATGTCAGTTACCCTGGTCACTGAACATGTAAGTGTGGACATGTCAGTTACCCTTGTCACTGCAGGGTACCTCAGACCTTTAGTGTGGACATGTTGGTTACCCTAGTCACTGAACGGTAACTCAGACCAGTAGTGTGGATATCTCAGTTACCCTTGTCACTGAACAGTACCTCAGACATGTGGTGTGGACATGTCAGTTACCCTGGTCACTGAACGGTATTTCAGACCTGTAGTGTGGACATATCAGTTACCCTGGTCACTGGAGGGTACCTCAGACCAGTAGCATGGACATGTCAGTTACCCCTGTCACTGCACGGTACCTGAGACCTTTAGTGTGGACATGTTGGTTACCCTAGTCACTAAACGGTACGTCACACTAGTAGTGTGGACATGTCAGTTACCCTGGTCACAGGAGGGTACCTCAGACCAGTAGTGTGGACATGTCAGTTACACTGGTCACTGGAGGGTACCTCAGACCAGTAGTGTGGACATGTCAGTTACCCTGGTCACTGGAGGGTACCTCAGACCACCAGTAGTGTGCACATGTCAGTTACCCAGATCACTGGAGAGTACCTCAGATCATTAGTGTGGACATGTCAGTCACCTCAGACCAGTAGTGTGGACATGTCAGTTACCCTGGTCACTGCAGGGTACCTCAAACCAGTAGTGTGGACAAGTCAGTTATCCAGGTCACTGGAGGGTTCCTCAGACCATAAGTGTGGGCATGTCTCTTACTCTGGTCACTGAACGGTTACTCAGACCTGAAGTGTATACATGTCAGATACCCTGGTCACTGAACGGTACCTCAGACCAGTAGTGTGGATATGTCAGTTATCATGGTCACTGGTCATGTATTGACCGGTCCTATTCCAATCACATCTGTCACTTCGGGAGCCACAACCATAGATATCCTCTTAAGTCCTGGACTCACAGCTATAGATAACGTTTTAAATCCCGGTCTTACCTGTCATCTCCGCAGCCACAGCTACCCTCTCAGGCCTAGGATCGCCCCAACCATTGACCTCCGGAACCACTCCAATAGATACCCTCTCAGGTCTCGGATCGGCCTTACCATTGACCTCCGGGACCACTCCAATAGATACCCTCTTAGGTCTCGGATCGGTCTTACCATTGACCTCCGTAACTAGACCCATAGATTCAAATGAATGAATAAAACTTTGGTCAATATAGTATGAAGTCCGCCATTGACCATGGTAGACAAAATAGCACAACGCCTGGATATTGAATTAAGTTTTTATGGAAGAAAGACAATCGACGCATCAAGTGATGATAAGATTTTATGAGAGATTCGAACAAATTACGAAATCTGAGTATAATTCCAGACTATAAACACAAAACTACAAAATTATACCAAAACAATCTCAATCATTCATCTGAAAGGCATTGAAATCACAGCTGTTTACAATTTAAAATGAAAATTAGAAATGAGGCTTAACTATATCTGTCAAAAGATGAACATTATTATAAAAGGTATTGATATTAATTACGACTTACTAATGTAGTGAATAGAAAAATTGCTAAAACTGTCTATGATAATTCACACAAATTACGATAGCTGTATAATGATCAAAAGTTACTGTATAGGCCTTCATTTTGGTGGGGAATTTGATTTCGCTTTATAGGTTGGTTGTCTTAATTCACAAGCTGATATGTCCTCGAAATCAATAAACTGACATGAGTGAAATACCACTGTATCATGAGTGAAATACCACTGTATCATGAGTGAAATACCACTGTATCATGAGCAAGATTTTCTACAAAATCAAATGCCATCGAAATTGAATTTTTTTTTAAAAATCTACGAAAATACATTTTCAAAGTGTATATATTGTAACATCCTCAGGGTGCACAAATATCCCTCTGAGTGACAGTTGGATTACACCACGGTAGTGCCCACATATCTCCCAGGATGACAGTTGGATTTCACCACTGTAGTGCCTACAAATCTCCCAGGGTGACAGTTGGATTTCACAACGGTAGTGCCCACAGATCTCCCAGGATGACAGGTGAATTTCACCACGGTAGTGCCCGCAGATCTCCCAGGATGACAGTTGGATTTCACCACGGTAGTGCCAACAGATCTCCCATGATGACAGTTGGATTTCACCACGGTAGTGCCCACAGATCTCCCAATATGACAGTTGGATTTCACCACGATAGTGCCCACATATCTCCCAGGATGACAGGTGGATTTCACCACGGTAGAGCCCACAGATCTCCCAGGATGACAGGTGGATTTCACCACGGTAGAGCCCACAGATCTCCCAGGATGACAGGTGGATTTCACCACGGTAGAGCCCACAGATCTCCCAGGATGACAGTTGGATTTCACCACGGTAGTGCCAACAGATCTCCCAGTATGACAGGTGGATTTCACCATAGTAGTGCCCAGAGATCTTCCAGTGTGACAGGTGGATTACACCACGGTAGTGCCCACATATCTCCCATGATGACAGTTGGATTTCACCACGGTAGTGCCCACAGATCTCCCAAGATGACAGTTGGATTTCACCACGATAGTGCCCACATATCTCCCAGGATGACAGTTGGATTTCACCACGGTAGTGCCCACAGATCTCCCAGTATGACAGTTAGATTTCACCACGGTAGAGCCCACAGATCTCCCAGGATGACAGGTGGATTTCACCACGATAGAGCCCACAGATCTCCCAGGATTACAGGTGGATTTCACCACGGTAGTGCCCACAGATCTCCCAGGATGACAGGTGGATTTCACCACGGTAGTGCCCACAGATCTCCCAGTATGACAGGTGGATTTCACCACGGTAGTGCCCACAGATATCCCAGTATGACAGGTGGATTTCACCACGGTAGTGCCCACAGATCTCCCAGTATGACAGGTGGATTTCACCACGGTAGTGCCCACAGATCTCCTATAGAAATGATAGGTGTTTTTCTCCGTATTGTTCATATGTTCGTCGTACAACTCGTTGATTTCAAGGTTATTTTATTATAAGGAATCAGTTAGAATAAAACTTTGTCATCAATTCATACCATCTTACCTGAAAAGGAAAGTAAATCAATTAGTTTGGCCATATTCTTACATAAATGATCGGAAAAAAACTATATTAGTATTTTAATGGAAACTTGACTCAGCATTCAAAGATTAATTGGTTATAAAATAAAGGTAATAGTTACTCCTTTGGTATAGAGAAATCGGGTATAATTTGTAATGAGTATAATGTGTACTGGTATAAGCGCTTTTGTACAAAGTATACAAAAGTATTAGATATAGTATATAATACTCAATTATTGAGCAATGAGTGTAAGGATATTGAGGAATTCTTTACCTCACATCGCCTTTTTAAGTGCATCTAGCTCCTGCACCAACTGTTTGTCATCTATGCCCTCGGGTTCCAACTCCTGATTGGCCTCTGTAACCTCCTGTTGACCTTCTACCTTTGGCTCGTCCTGATTGGCCTCTGTAACCTCCTGTTGACCTTCTACCTTTGGCTCGTCCTGATTGGTCTCTGTAACCTCCTGTTGACCTTCTACCTTTGGCTCGTCCTGATTGGCTGCAACGTCTGTTGACCAGGCATCGATATCCTTCACCGATGGAGGTCCCTGATCGATATTTACCTTAGGAGCTGGTACTGCCAAAACCAACTGACCCTCCTCAATGGTCGGTAGATCGGATTTATTGGAAATTTTCCTTGGAACCTCTTTCTCCGGAGACATTTGAGTATTCGTAACATTGGAGTCCGGAAACAATTCCTTGGGCAGCAGAAGATCATTCACAGAGGGAACCTTCTTCACTGGTGTTGGAATGATATCTGCTCCATCCTTTACGGGATTTAGAACAAGACCAGTTTCATGGTAGAGTTTCCCGTCATTGATCACATAATTAGGTATTTGTTCTGAAGGTAGTTTCCTAGGTTCCGGTAGTTTAGTGTCAACTAATGGCTCATGTGCTGTGGAGAGACGTCTGGGGACAGCTTGGTTGGGTACCACCTGGGGAACAGATGCTTTTTTTACGGATTCTTTCAGACTTGGCTCCAATTCCTCCAGAATTTCAATCAAGCTGGATGCAGAACCTAGCAACATATCAGAAGACGGTACAACCAACAAAGAATCAACGACGATGTACGATAAAGGTTAAGCCATTTTGTATAAATGTATGATATCACAAGGCCAGCGTTACCTACGTTTACGCCGGGCTCCACACATCCCACAGAAGGAAGCACAGTTGGTGGCAGCCCAAGAGCTGTAGGTTGGATTAGTGCAGATATCTCCCGCGTACTCGTCACAGCTCAGCGTGTCAGTGCAGTCTGTCAATATATAAATCGATGGTTATTACGACGAACAAAACTCGAGACAGAAATGTTTCCAGCAGAGAATAAGCACTTCAGGAAATGTTAAAGGGAAGACATGACACGACATGAGAAAGTCATCAAAACACGAGGAATACACTCTTACGAGAAACCAAGAGATTACCACGTGGAATAAAGTCTCACGAGTGGCAAAAAGATTACCACAAGGAATAAAGTCTCACGAGATTCCAAGAGATTACCACGTGGAATAAAGTCTCACGAGAGGTCAAGAGATTACCATAGGGAATAGTTTCACGAGAGGCCAAGACATTACCACAGGGAATAAAGTTCCACAAGAGGCCAAGAGATTACCACAGGGAATAAAGTCTCTTGAGAGGCCAAGAGATAACCATAGGGAATAAAGTCTCACGAGAGGCAAAGATATTACCACAGGGAATAAAGTCTCACGAGAGGCCAAGAGATTACCATAGGGATTAAAGACTCACGAGAGGCCAAGGGATTACCACAGGGAATAAAGTCTCACGAGAGGCCAATAGATTACCATAGGGAATAAAGTCTCACGAGAGGCAAAGCTAATACCTTAAGGAATAAAGTCTCACGAGAGGCCAAGAGATTACCATAGGGATTAAAGACTCACGAGAGGCCAATAGATTACCATAGGGAATAAAGTCTCACGAGAGGCCAAGAGATTACCACAAGGAATAAAGTCTCACGAGAGGCCAAGAGATTACCACGTGGAATAAAGTCTCACAAGAGGCCAAGATATTACCACAGGGAATAGTTTCACGAGAGGCCAAGACATTACCACAGGGAATAAAGTTCCACAAGAGGCCAAGAGATTACCACAGGGAATAAAGTCTCTTGAGAGGCCAAGAGATAACCATAGGGAATAAAGTCTCACGAGAGGCAAAGATATTACCACAGGGAATAAAGTTCCACAAGAGGCCAAGAGATTACCACAGGGAATAAAGTCTCTTGAGAGGCCAAGGGATTACCACAGGGAATAAAGTCTCACGAGAGGCCAATAGATTACCATAGGGAATAAAGTCTCACGAGAGGCAAAGCTAATACCTTAAGGAATAAAGTCTCACGAGAGGCCAAGAGATTACCATAGGGATTAAAGACTCACGAGAGGCCAATAGATTACCATAGGGAATAAAGTCTCACGAGAGGCCAAGAGATTACCACGTGGAATAAAGTCTCACAAGAGGCCAAGATATTACCACAGGGAATAAAGTCTCACGAGAGGCCAATAGATAATCATAGGGAATAAAGTCTCACGAGAGGCCAAGGGATTACCACAAGGGAGTAAAGTCTTACGAGAGGCCAAGAGATTACCACAGGGAATAAAGTCTCTTGAGAGGCAAAGATATAACCATAGGGAATAAAGTCTCACGAGAGGCAAAGAGATTACCACAGGGAATAGTTTCACGAGAGGCCAAGATATTACCACAGGAAATAAAGTCTCACGAGAGGCCAAGAGATTACCACAAGGAATAAAGTCTCACGAGATTCCAAGATATTAAAACAGGGAATAAAGTCTCACGAGAGGTCAAGAGATTACCATAGGGAATAGTTTTACGAGAGGCCAAGACATTACCACAGAGAATAAAGTTCCACAAGAGGCCCAGAGATTACCATAGGGATTAAAGTCTCACGAGAGGCCAAGGGATTACCACAAGGAATAAAGTCTCACGAGAGGCCAAGGGATTACCATATGGAATAAAGTCTCACGAGAGGCCAAGAGATTACCACAAGGAATAAAGTCTCACGAGAGACCAAGACATTACCACAGGGAATAAAGTCTCACGAGAGGCCAAGAGATTACCATAGGGATTAAAGACTCACGAGAGGCAAAGTGATTACCATAGGGAATAAAATCTCACGAGAGTCAAAGAGATTACCCTAGGGAATAAAATCTCGCGAGAGGCAAAGATATTACTACCGGGAATAAAGTTCCACGAGAGGCCAAGAGATAACCATAGGGAATAAAGTCTCACGAGAGGCCAAGGGATTACCACAAGGGAATAAAGTCTTACGAGAGGCCAAGTCATTACCACAGGGAATAAAGTCTCACGAGAGGTCAAGAGATTACCATATGGAATAAAGTCTCACGAGAGGCCAAGAGATTACCACAAGGAATAAAGTCTCACGAGAGGCCAAGACATTACCACAGGGAATAAATTCTCACGAGAGGCCAAGAGATTACCATAGGGATTAAAGACTCACGAGAGGCAAAGTGATTACCATAGGGAATAGAGTCTCACGAGAGGCAAAGAGATTACCCTAGGGAATAAAATCTCGCGAGAGCCAAAGATATTACTACCGGGAATAAAGTTCCACGAGAGGCCAAGAGATAACCATAGGGAATAAAGTCTCACGAGAGGCCAAGGGATTACCACAAGGGAATAAAGTCTTACGAGAGGCCAAGTCATTACCACAGTGAATAAAGTCTCACGAGAGGCAAAGAGATTACCATAGGGAATAAAGTCTCACGAGAGGCAAAGAGATTACCATAGGGAATAAAGTCTCACGAGAGGCAAAGAGATTACCATAGGGAATAAAGTCTCACGAGAGGCAAAGATATTACCACAGGGAATAAAGCCTAAGGAGAGGTCATGAGGAAAGTTAAGGCTCAAGAAAGGTCAAAGATAGAAATGTTGTTCTACAAACCAATGATCTAGCTAGATATTTATTGTTTTGCTATGGTTATGTGGTCATTGTACTCGTTTCTGTCGGTATTTTAGAACGGTTTAGACATCCATTACTGTTCGTTCGTTTGTAAGGGAAAATTAACAATCTTACCAGCACACATTCCGCAGTACTTAGCGCAATTTTGTTTTGCCCAGTCCTTGTAATCGGAGTTTGTACATGCATCGTCTTGGTAGGAGTCACAATCATCCAGCTTATCAACACAGTCAGAACCGGAAGAGGTTGAGCCAGATGAGGAGCTGGTCTGAGACTCGCCTGAAAAATTGTCCATCATTGATTCATTATTAAAGAGCACCTACCTTACCCATTTATTACCGTCTTAGATGAAATGCCCGAGAGCCACTGATGTAGTAAAAATAATTCAGAACATTTTAAAATAAATCCTATCACAGGAAACGATGGTGTTAACGTTTGGTAATCGGGTAGAGCAGTGGTTATGCACTTTTAACTGTCTGACCACGTCGGTATTTTCCAGTTACTCCGAGTATCTTCCAAAGTTAGCGGGTGCTTCTATCCGGGGCAACATGAGAAATTAGTATAGTTGGAAAACTCGATTGTTGAAGATAAATATTTGAATTTTTACATCATAATTAAGCTAACAAAAAAGGACTGTATCTTTATATTTTATTCATCCGTCTTACATTTCAACAATAACGAAAGAGGCATTTGCTGTTGAAAGTCATCATTACAATAATCAAAACAGTTGGACTATGCGACATTAGATTGTGATGGTAACAGTGCCTTGACAGTATTACCACCAGCTGTTACGATACAAATATCTCTCACGCTTTACTTTACATTGTTCCACCTTGTTTCTAACATACTTCTTCTTACGTGATATTACTCAACACCATTTTAATATTTCAAGGTCTTAGTGTTAAATATATTCTTAAATATTCACATGTACTTGACGCTGTTCTGAAATTGTCTTATATATGAAAATTGAAATGCTGCACTTCCCAGACTAGATTTTGACTTTCGATCACTATAGATTTCCTCAGTCGCCTCCTAGGCCTCTAAATTAAGGTCCTTAGCTTCACGGACGAGTCCTAGAAGGACAAAGCAGCTGTAAATTCTATGATGCAATTTAATTCGATATTTGGCTCTACTGTATCTAAGTCTACTTCATCAAAAAGCGCTATTCACTTGGTTGTCTTTTGTACAATCTGAACGAGACCAGTCTTTATACTTGTCGATTTCCACTTTTTTGTTCAATTGCAAAGCAAAAGCTACATCTCCGAACTCCGGAGCAACCACTTACCACTTCCACAAAGGTTACAGAATTTCGGACAGTTGCTCTTTGCCCAGGACTTGTAATCAGTGTTAGTACAGATATCTCCCTGGTAGGAGCTACAATCTACTGAGTCGGAACAGGAATCAGAATTTCCAGAGTTCAGCTTAGCAGTAGTTGTATCAGCATGCAACTTTGCACCTGTTTTGTAAGAAATTGTTTAATCACTGACAATTTATGCCTGGTAAACTAATCTGCCCTGAAACAAAGTGGTTTTTAAATGTCTCCTGGTCACCTTCCCTGTAAACAAAGAAATCTGTGACGAAGGTCACCTTTTGCTTAGCATTATCAAGAATAAGTTCTCTAGTCGTCCACGAGAGTAGAAGGCACGTTCATTTGAAAACAGCTTCATCTAAAAGTAAATACAAAAATCCCACATTTATAGACTGATACATGTCATGATGTTTATTAGAAACTTCTGACTTGCCACCACCATAAGACTTCGCTTGTCTTACCCGCGCCACATAGCTTGCAGTATTTGCTACAGTGAGTGGAGGCCCAGCCCCGAAAGTTTGTACAGATGTCGTTCTGGTACGCTGCGCAGTCAACCTTGTCTCTACATTGTGTTACGCTGATAGAAGTGGAAGGACTAGGAGAGGTTGAATGGGTAGCTTGCTGCCGTGAAGTAGTTATTCCTGGGAATGTACAATAAATAGCAAGTCCAAGATATCATCGTAAGCACACGATTAAGTAATCCTGATATAGAATAACCCACCACCATCTTACCCTGTACAACACTTAAACCCACCAACAGCTAACCATGTAAAATACAATAACCCTAAATCAGCTAACCCTCTACAACACTATAACCCACCAACAACTAACCCTGTACAATACAATAACCCTAAATCAGCTAACCCTGTACAACACTATAACCCACCACCAGCTAACCATGTACAATACAATAACCCTAAATCAGCTAACCCTCTACAACACTATAACCCACCACCAGCTAACCATGTACAATACAATAACCCTAAATCAGCTAACCCTGTACAACACTATAACCCACCACCAGCTAACCCTGTACAATACAATAACCCTAAATCAGCTAACCCTGTACAACACTTAAACCCACCAACAACTAACCATGTACAATACAATAACCCTAAATCAGCTAACCCTGTACAACACTATAACCCACCACCAGCTAACCCTGTACAATACAATAACCCTAAATCAGCTAACCCTGTACAACACTATAACCCACCACCAGCTAACCCTGTACAATACAATAACCCTAAATCAGCTAACCCTGTACAACACTTAAACCCACCAACAACTAACCATGTACAATACAATAACCCTAAATCAGCTAACCCTGTACAACACTATAACCCACCACCAGCTAACCATGTACAATACAATAACCCTAAATCAGCTAACCCTCTACAACACTTAAACCCACCAACAGCTAACCCTGTACAATACAATAACCCTAAATCAGCTAACCCTGTACAACACTATAACCCACCAACAGCTAACCATGTACAATACAATAACCCTAAATCAGCTAACCCTCTACAACACTTAAACCCACCAACAGCTAACCCTGTACAATACAATAACCCTAAATCAGCTAACCCTGTACAACACAATAACCGACGATCAGCTAACCATGTACAATACAATAACCCTAAATCAGTTAACCCTGTACAACACAATAACCCTAAATCAGCTAACCCTGTACAATACAATAACCCTAAATCAGCTAACCCTGTACAACACTATAACCATCCAACAGCTAACCATGTACAATACAATAACCCTAAATCAGCTAACCCTGTACAACACTATTACCCACCACCAGCTAACCCTGTACAATACAATAACCCTAAATCAGCTAACCCTCTACAACACTATAACCCACCACCAGCTAACCATGTACAATACAATAACCCTAAATCAGCTAACCCTGTACAACACTATAACCCACCAACAACTAACCATGTACAATACAATAACCCTAAATCAGCTAACCCTCTACAACACTATAACCCACCACCAGCTAACCCTGTACAATACAATAACCCTAAATCAGCTAACCCTCTACAACACTATAACCCACCAACAGCTAACCCTGTACAATACAATAACCCTAAATCAGCTAACCCTGTACAACACTATAACCCACCACCAGCTAACCATGTACAATACAATAACCCTAAATCAGCTAACCCTCTACAACAATATAACCCACCACCAGCTAACCATGTACAATACAATAACCCTAAATCAGCTAACCCTGTACAACACTATAACCCACCAACAACTAACCATGTACAATACAATAACCCTAAATCAGCTAACCCTGTACAACACTTAAACCCACCAACAGCTAACCCTGTACAATACAATAACCCTAAATCAGCTAACCCTGTACAACACTATAACCCACCAACAGCTAACCATTTACAATACAATAACCCTAATTCAGCTAACCCTGTACAACACTTAAACCCACCAACAGCTAACCCTGTACAATACAATAACCCTAAATCAGCTAACCCTGTACAACACTATAACCCACCACCAGCTAACCATGTACAATACAATAACCCTAAATCAGCTAACCCTGTACAACACTATAACCCACCACAAACTAACCCTGTACAATACAATAACCCTAAATCAGCTAACCCTGTACAACACAATAACCATCCAACAGCTAACCCTGTACAACACTATAACCCACCACCAGCTAACCATGTACAATACAATAACCCTAAATCAGCTAACCCTGTACAACACAATAACCATCCAACAGCTAACCCTGTACAACACTATAACCCACCACCAGCTAACCATGTACAATACAATAACCCTAACACCAGCTAACCCTGTACAACACTATAACCCACCACCAGCTAACCCTGTACAACACTATAACCCACCACCAGCTAATCATGTACAATACAATAACCCTAAATCAGCTAACCCTGTACAATACAATAACCCTAATTCATCTAACCCTGTACAATACAATAACCCACAACCAGCTAATTCTGAACAATACAATAACCCACAACCAGCTAACCCTGTACAATACAATAACCCACCACCAGCTAATCCTGTACAATACAATAACCCACAACCAGCTAACCCTGTACAACACAATAACCCACCACCAGCTAATCCTGTACAATACAATAACCCTAAATCAGCTAATCCTGTACAACACAATAACCCACCATCAGCTAACCCTGTAAAATGCAATAACCCTAAATCAGCTAACCCTGTACAACACAATAACCGACGATCAGCTAACTTTGAACAATACAATAACACATCACCAGCTCATCCTGTACAACACAATAACCCACAACCAACTAACCCTGTACAACACAATAACTTACCACCAACTTACCTTGTACCATAACAACCTACCACCAACTAACCCTGTACAATACCTAACATACCACAAGCTAGCCCTGTACAATACATTACCTACCGCCAACTAACCAGGTACAATGCATAGCCTACCACCCAATAACCCTGTACAATACGTTACCTACCGCCAACTAACCCTGTATAATACATAGCCTACCACCAGCTTACCCTGTACAACACCATAACCTACCACCAGCTAACCAGGTACAATGCATAGTATACCACCCACTAACCCTGTGCAATACATTACCTACCGCCAACTAACCAGGTACAATGCACTGTATACCACCCACTAACCCTGTACAATACATTACCTACCGCCAACTAACCCTGTACAATACATAACCTACCACCAGCTTACCCTGTACAACACCATAACCTACCACCAGCTAACCAGGTACAATGCATAGTATACCACCCACTAACCCTGTGCAATACATTACCTACCGCCAACTAACCAGGTACAATGCACTGTATACCACCCACTAACCCTGTACAATACATTACCTACCGCCAACTAACCCTTTGCAATACATAACCTCTCGGCAACTAACCAGGTACAATCCAATAACTCACCACCCCTAGCCTCCATACATTAAAACAACCTCCATTATCTAAAGCTAACCATTGACCATATAGATAACTGGTCACCACTTGCGTCCTCTGTACAATACAACAATACAATAATCATGTCGAAAAAGCATCCCATCACCATCGACCAGTCCTGATAGTGTATAACAAGCAACCGCCTTAACCTGTAAGAACTCGAAGAACAAAATAAAATTAGAGTAATTGTTAAACGAAATCACTGCACCTGACCAATATGCCACTTAAGCACATCTACTTTCTACGTTCTACTTGAGCACATCATCCACCAATCAGAGACCAATATCCCACTTTACATCATCCTTCACCAATCAGAGACCAATATCCCACTTTACACCATCCTTCACCAACCAGAGACCAATATCCCACTTCACATCATTCTTCACCAATCAGAGGCCAATATCCCACTTTACATCATCCTTTACCAATCAGAGACCAGAATCCAACTTCTACATCATCCTTCACCAACCAGAGACCAATATCCCACTTTACATCATCCTTTACCAATCAGAGACCAATATCCCACTTTACATCATCCTTCACCAATCCGAAAACAATATTCCACTTTACATCATCCTTCACCAATCCGAAAACAATATTCCACTTTGCCTCAGCCTTTATCAATCCTTACCATCGCTAGTACCACACCAACCGCAGTGGCGAGGACAGTTGATATGTGCCCATCCCTGATAGGCTGAAGCTGTACATATGTTACTTTGATACGCAACGCAGTTCACTGCGTCGACACACACTACAGACCCATGACCTGTCCTTTCTGTCGTCGTAACCGGCGTTGTCATCAGCGCAGAATGTGGGTGGTGGCACCAACCACAATGATCGGGACAATGCGCGTGAGCCCAATGGGAGTACCCGGGACTGGTACATACGTCTGAAAGGTAGGCACTGCAATCCAACAGATCCCTACAGCTAGAGGTCACAGAGGTCATGGGACTTGTAGATGTCGTACTCACTGTATCAGTCAATCAAATGATTTAGTTTTAATATCACCATCGTCATTGATTATCTCATTAAACGGAAATCTCTTAATACAGCACTGATTGATAAGACATGCTCACTAGTTGTGATATATCTGTATGGAAAAACTTTTAAAAAGTACAAGAAATGGAAGACTAAAGGATTCCCCGATCTACAAAAGAATTTTCAATATACACTTAAAGAACTATTTGATCACGTAAATTGAAATGAGTTTTTAGATGTTGAAATCCTTACCACTGTCAGTTGAACACCAACCACAGTGTTTTTTACAGTTCTCGTTCGCCCATTTCCTATACCTAGAACTTGTACAGATATCGGAAGCATAAATAGCACAGTTTAAGTGGTTGACACATGAAGTGGTCGTTTGTCCGAGCGCCTCCGTAGTGGTGGGACGGGTGGTGGGTGTAGTAAGAAGGGGGGTCACTGAAAACAGTCAAAATTTTGTAGAGACTTAGTCATATACATTGTATCTAAATTTTCGTCTTTAATTCTGGACCCTTACAGTATTTCAATAAGCAGATAAACTATGGAATAAAAGATGTCGTTTTGTTGAGCACTAACCAATTAGAACTGGCAGATTTATGTACGATGAGATTGCTTTGCAACTTTCAGGAGGTTTTAGATATCCATGACCCTTTAAGCAATGAATGTAAATGGCTGGTGTTGTGGTCCACAGACAGCTACAGCGTGTCACTAAAACACCGCATTTTGAAGTCAGGAATCCTTAAATACTTTTTGATTCAACGTTCTCCTAAAAGAACATGTTCATAGCGCAATGTTAACAATTTCAGAATGGGAAATCGAATTGAACAATGCGGATTTAAGTAATGATCATTGAAAAAAAGTATTGGGAGAATTAATAAGATCATGTGTTCTGGAAGGGTTAACGTTTTTTGCTTCATCAACAACATCATCCAAATGTAAAACAAGCTACCTTCAAGTGATGTTTTCATTTTCAAATAAGAACCAGGTTTAAGATAGGACAACCATAACATTTATTCTTATTTGTTTAGAGTTGAGAAGGAGACTGCTACTACTTTTACGTTCTAGAAAAAGGAAATTCATAATCGGATCATTAAAATCAGCTGTCCTTGTTGATTGTGTTGCAAGTAAAGGTAAGTTGAAGAAGTGTCTGACGTATCTCTTGCCTAGAGATCTGATGGCGTATAGGCAGGCAAACATCAGTATAACTATCCACTTGTAAGCAAATAAGATAGATCAGTTGATTGTATCCAAACATGTATTCGATATTTCTTCCTTTGCATCCTTTTGGAATTCTTCTCGCTGTAATTGAGTTTTTTTATGATAAAAATTATCTCTAATTTCTTCGGTCTATGTTTACGACAGTGAACCCATTGTTCTGTGGAAGACGTCTGTACCTGTTCCGGAAGACCTTTTACTAACTTAAACGATCTGATATGGTAAATCGGTCAAACCAGTATCTGTTTTTACAGTTGCCTAATTGTATGATGTAACCATTAGCTCTTCGCAAAAGAAATGTGTCCAAGGATGAAATGTTTGCTTCAGCTTTAGTTTGTTTACTTATTAAGTTTGTACAATCCTCTTTACCGGGGTTTTCTTGATGGATTTAACAGGATGTGGACCAAAACACCGGCAATTTGCTTTCTTTTCTTTATCAAATAGATATGTGTACCGAAAATTGAAAATCTTTTTTAGCTTACAAAGTCAACTTTGTGAAAATGGTATTATACGGTAACAACGTATGCTTTGCTGTGTAATTATTGATATATCTGACCTTACAATTCTCTTAAATAAAGTCAATCTTACCACTGTCAGTGGAACACCAACCACAGTGTTTTTTACAGTTCTCGTTCGCCCATTTCCTATACCTAGAACTTGTACAGATATCGGAAGCATAAATAGCACAGTCTAAGTGGTTGACACATGAAGTGGTCGTTTGTCCGAGCGCCTCCGTAGTGGTGGGACGGGTGGTGGGTGTAGTAAGAAGGGGGGTCACTGAAAACAGTCAAAATTTTGTATCTAAATTTTTGTGTTTAATTCTGAACCCTTACAGTATTTCAATAAGAAGATAAACTATGGAATAATAGATGTCGTTTTGTTGAGCATTGGCCAATTAGAACTGGATGTAGTAAGAAGGGAGGTCACTGAAAACATTTAAAACACCTGAGGTATTAGTGAGTCACCTACAGCTCATTCTTATCATATAATGGAAACATCTAATTTACAATGATATCAACTTACCTAGCATGTATTTTTGTTTGCTCATTTAGAAATAAAATAATTTTTGTGAAATACCAACTAAGTATTGAAGGAAATTGTACGTTGCAAAGGTATCAGCCAGACAGTAACACGATAACAGTAATGTTAATAGATATTCCATGGTTAGATATTTCGAGATATAACCACCACCAATGAGAGGACTTCTATGACTTTTCAGCACGACTAAAATGTACCCCCTGTTTATGGATGCAGATTTACCAGCTCTGGCCATTTCTAGGGCACCTCTCTTCTAGCACATGTAGGGGTTGGCTTACCCGTCCCACAGAACCCACAAAATTTGCGACAGTGTTCCTCCGCCCACCTTCGGTAGGCTTCGTTGGTGCATGTGTCTTTCTGGTAAACAGCGCAGTAAATTTTGTCAACGCAAGGCTCGGTAGTGGTGCTTACTGCTGTTATACCTCCTGTGTTTATACATAACCACACAACTTATTAGTCTCATTTATACATACAAACATATAAAATCTTAAAGAATAATCAGGCTTTTCGCGCGCTTTTGACACTGTTACGCACAGGTAATACCATGTTACCTTGCCGAATTCCGTATGGTGATATATCGCTTCAAATGTAAAATAAGAAAAGAAATCTTCTAAATATCTAAAACAGCATACGAGGTCACATATAGCGTTTGCTGGGGTGGACTACATAGTTTAAGCGGAAGTTTTCCAAAAGCCATGAAAACAGCATGTATGTAGATTTCATATCAATACGAATTACGAGACCTTTGTCTACAGTGGCGGATTCATAAACCTTTAATCGAATTTTTCTGCTGTTTGATTCCCTGATATTACCCGTTTTCCTTCGGTTTCTATTTATCTCCATAATTCTACCGATTTACCACTGGAATACACAGCGAAACATTTCCGACACTTTTGGGGAAAACCCGTTATATTTTTTTTAGTATTTTTTCAAAACAGATCATGAGATATACACTGCTGATCTTTAAAGCTTTCACTACTGTAGGCAGGTTTCTAGCATTTCTTTCCCAGGTAGCACACCTGTTGCTAAAGCGATGCCGTCATTTGATTGTTATCGAGAACAATTTTATGGATAAGTGTAAATAATTATTTTTGATAGCTGACATTTCGATAATGGCATATCGGTATCTGTGTAGCAATGTTTTATAAACTGCAAGAAAAAAGTAAAAAGTAAAATGAGCAGAAATTGGAAACCTTGGTCCCCAATATCCAGAGCAAGCAACACCAGTAAAGCATCGATAGAGCAGGCTCAGGATAAACATCTTACCGTGGTCAATGCCATCAACTGCTCAGGGATGAATACAGATAAGTTTAATATCAAAATACTACTCATCACTTCAACAAGGTAAAATATGTCTACAAAATGAATCCGTCGTTGTCTGTATTCAATAAAAGATCGAATTATTTACCTAACAAGGACTACACATAATCCAAGGGTTTCAGAATACACTCCTACTTACATATGGGGGGCGTATTTAACATAATGGTGAATGAAAACCAAACAATGCACTAGGTAAATAATTAAAGCCTGTTTTAAGTAGCCACCTCAGAAGATTTACCTCCACAGAATCCACATGTACGCTGGCAGTTCGATTCCGCCCAGGCCTCATATTTGTAACAGAATCCTTCCTCATACGTTTCACAGTCAGTCAGTATATCTTTACACAGGTAGACTGAAATACATAAATACATCACAGTTAGTCAGTTTATCTTTACACAGGTACACTGAAATACATATATATATCACAGTTAGTCAGTTTATCTTTACACAGGTACACTGAAATACATATATATATCACAGTTAGTCAGTTTATCTTTACACAGGTACACTGAAATACATATATATATCACAGTTAGTCAGCAGATCTTTACACTGATAGATTTAAATGGGTTTGATATTGGTTCATGCTAACACAATGGAATATTAATTATCCAAGTTACCAGTACCAAATATGAAAAGATGTAGATACATGAGAGGCTAGGGACGGGAATTCGGCTATTTATACCTTCCATAGGTAATGACTTCATAACTTACTCTCTTTAAACGACCCTAGTGAGATTTAACACTATGGATTTTAAAATGTCTTCATGACAATTCTCATGAGTTTGAGGTCGTGCTATTTCTAGTTATAGAAGAGGGTGAGAGATTGTTTTTTCCAAGATTATCAGAAGATGGTGTTTACTTTGTAATCAAACCAATGGCTGACAACCTATAACTAATAATTCTTTAGTAAGTATAAAACCTACCTGACGGATCCTTTACACAAATTCCACAAAACTCCATACAATTGATGCTGACCCAGGACCGGTATTCCGACGCCTCACAGATGTTGTCTACATACCGAGTGCAGTCCATCTTATTTCTACAGCTACTGCCAACTGAGGTAGACCGAATATTTAGATAATCACGAGTAAATTCATGGAATTTACATCCCCCACTTTCCAAACATATTGTAAGTAAATATTTTAGAGGTTAGGAGTAACCATGTCATTCTCTTGTGCTATGATGTATTGCTTTAAAGCCAAAGAAAGATGTAAAGGATTATAGAGAGTAGATGTTTTATTGGACATATCAAAAATTAACCAATAAAGTGAACTAATTGGAGAAAACTTGCATACTAGTAACTATAACGGTGCTAAGCAGATCCATGGTCATCAGCTCTTCTCATATTACTGAACCCTATCACAAATTCGGCTAAGCCTTGAATATGTTGAATCCTGTTGCTAAGTTTGATAACTTTTACAAATAATTGGGAAAGAAATTTACCGGTTTTTCTTTATAAATATATGGATCATAACTATCATGCTAAATCAGATTATATTCAGGAAAGTTAGAGCACAAAAACTGACGACCAAAGAAATGAAAGGACACCTAATTAATATGCATAAATATTAACACATGATGCCGATTGCTGTCTTATGTGCCCTAATATGCATCTGCTGACCAAGTTTCATCTAAATCTGATTATATTTAGGGACGTTAGAGCACGGAAATGAACCGACCAATGAAATCAAAGGAAACAACATTAGTATGCATACTTATTAACAGATGACACTGATAGTCAAATTCAGTCTTAAAGACCCCAAGATGCATCTGCTGACCAAGTTTTACCCAAATTGGATGATATTTGGGGAAGTTAGAACACAGAAACGAAAGTGTGACAGGCAGACGGACGGACAGACGGTGTGATAAACCAAAATTAATATTCCCCGTTTTGGTGAAAGCGGGGGATATTTATTATATTTAGTTTAAGGTATACCGAATGTTAGTTTAGACTTGGTGTTGATAAAAAAAATTATTAACTGTTAATTCCTTGCCCAAGTACGTAATACAAAGGTTAGGCCAGCATTGCTGTGAAGACTTTGTGCTTTTGATAGGATGTTATCATTACTGAGAGTTTATCTATATCTTACCTACATTAGTATCAAGATGAAGAAGAAAATATCAACATGTCAACATTAGTATAATTCAAACACCAAAAAAATTACAAGAAAAATAAAACAGGTGTTCCGGCAGAGTAAGAGTTTTTTGCTTCATTGACGACAACCGCCATGTAAATCTTGGTCAATCCAATTAATAATGTTACGTTCTCAGATAAAAAAAAAGTTTAAAACAACGGAAGGTGAGGGCCTGGGGCGCTGTAAAGACTTTGTGTTGTTCATATATTGTAATAGTAACTGTGAGTTGTGAATTCCTTACCCACGTTAGTTTACACCTGCAGTGCTGTAAAGATATTGTATAAATAATACAGTGGTTTAGTTACTAGTGGGATTCCTTACCAATGTTGGTATTACAAGGTTTAGGCATGCAGTGCTTTGAAATTATAGGCTTTTCCTGTCCAGGACACCGTTTCACGTCTACCACCGAGTTGGACTGCTCGGATGCATAGCAGTCAACAGCACGAGTTTGAGTGCCACGCCCACATGTTCTTGAACACTACAACAATTAGCACGATTTGAACATCATGCCTTCACATTCAGGAACACTATAAAAATTATTACGAGTTTGATTGTCACGCCAACAAGTTCGTGAACAACACGTGTTTGCATACAAACCCATTGGTTCGGAACGCTACAAGGTTCAATCTTTCTGATCTGCTCACAAAATAACCTTCAGGCTCGTTAAATAATTAAGAAAATATGCACAATTTGAATATATGTCGCTCTGGAGAACAAAGAGGAAATCTTCAATATGTAAAAGGACACGAAAAAAGGATTACATTGGAGATATAGATAAATGAAAATGATGTTGCGTAAAAAACTGCAATTGAAAGAGAAATCCGTCTGGTATATGTTAAGAACAGGACTAGCATTGTTCTATAAAAGCTAGAGAATACTTACAGTGGACCATGCTCCAGACTTCCAGATGCCGGGACAGAGCTGCATGTTACACTGTTTTGTGGTAGCAGGTTTGTGGGCGAGGTTACAGTGGTTGTCCCTGGTTACTGTGTAAGAGTCTCCCTGTATAACCACACAATGGACAACGCGTGACTGACTCCCGCCCCCGCATGTCTTAGAACAGGACGACCAAACCTCCGACTGCCATCTACAATGTAACACAACACAGTAGAAGTATAACGCTTGCTTCATTGGTCCTTTGTATTTGAAAATTGATTCTTGTAACCGAAAGATTTACAGGACTGAATTTGCCTTAACGTGGATGACAGCAATAGCTGAATAAGAATATATTCACATTAGACATGGTGTATACAGGTCTTTCAGAAGGTTGATATACGGTATATATCTTATCATTGAGGATGACGACAGACAGGTTGGAGTATTGATGATGAAGAATCGTCGTTGGATACGTACTGAGGGGGACAATCCTTGGTGTTACAGTCTATCAAAGTCTCCTGTGGCCGAGCGTAGATGTCACAATGGAAATCTTCTACGTGTGTGTTACTGGATACCCGTATGCACTGAACTGTGACCAACGAATGTCCTAAATCATAAACTACATCGTTAGTATAGGTATTACTGAGCGTCCAAACAAATTTTTTTGAGTGAGTTTCGTTAATCAGAAAGTAAATCGTTCAGACATGCTTTCCCGGACACCCACAGATATCGAATGCTGACAACCAATGACTTCTAAATCAATTACTGAATTTTTGGAACACTGGTGACGCTGAGAACCGGTATCATCAGGTCCCCCAATTACATACTAAATGTCCTTCCCTACTCGTGTTTCGAGAGATATTTCCTATAAATTACTTAACTCTACTGTACACCCTTCTACGAGTGCCAAAAGACCTATATCTGGTGTCCTTGCTGACCTTCTGTATGCTTATCTTTGCCGCATGTCCTTGTTTGCCCTTGATAATAATTACCTGTGCCACACGTCCTACTACAGGTGCCTTGAGTGGCCCTCCAGACGTATCCTGAGTAGGGAGTGCGTATTGGTGTGGAGTAGGTGTAGGAGATCTGGGGCTTCACGCCTTGGTACTCATTACCGTAATCTCTCCATACCTGTAGAACAATACAGGCAAATAACTATAGAACGGAATCATTGACAAGTAAACAGGAGGATGGGAGGAGAATTGCAAAAATAACAGGTGAGTCTAACTAAAAAGATAAGAACAGAAGATTGATATAACAGTTTAGGAAATCTTCCAGGAATTCACAGACTGAGTTAATCAAACTCTCTCGAAAAGCTACAGAGATACATCAGGTTCCCAGTCGTAGGGTGTTTCTTTCAGAGGTGAAATAAATGTATGTTTGTAGAGATATCGAGACTTTTTTTGTTATGAGAAATTTCTTTACAGAGAAATGCGAACAGTGGTGCTCTGGTTTCATACTACAATGTTGCAAAAATATATAAACTCCAAAGACAATCGTGAAAGTAATTTCATTTCATGCTGAAAATATCTTTACTAATTCCAGTGACACTATCTGTTTCTTCTCAGAGCTGAATTTATCAAGGTGCTTATAAATACAATAAACAAACGCCAGACAAGTCCATCGTTGTCACTTTCAGATAACAAGAAATTCATCCCTTAGTCGACATAATTTTCAGAACTTTACAACAAGGACAGGACAGACTCGTCTACGTCAGCTGCTTACTTCGATACACAACTAAACCAGAGGGACATTATTTAAAGGGGCATTTGTGAAGCGACGATAATTTGGTCAATCACACTGTCTTTGTGATTACATCCTCAGTATATTTTGACTTAAGACGTACTGTTCGTTCATTCTGTGGAGAGACAAAATCAAATCATGAGTCGGTTGATCATCCAATATAAACAAAATGAGGGTCGCATCAATAAATGGAGTCATGATTGTAATGACATTGGATTAGCTACTACTGTTTACTATGTAAACATCAGTTGATTGATGTTTCAATAGGATATCCTTGGTTATCGAAGAACCCTTTTTGTTTGCAGAAAACTGCGATCATTTTTGCACAAAAGGAGCAAGTTATTAGGTGCTTTATCAACAGGCACAATCCGATATCCATTGTGCAAATCGTGTTGTCTTAAAATCAGGATAAAGCAACGCGGCCTGAAGTTTCGTCTCATTTTATATTCTAACTGTTAATTCCTTTAACAATGGGAGACCGAATCGACTCTACATATCTTGAAATTCACATTCGAATTAGTGAAAACATTTCATGACGTTTTCACCCCTTTATGAAAAGTTCGCGTTGCTTAAAGTATGGTCAGTCATACAGTACTAATATATAAACCCTCTGAAACGTGTATATGATACCCTGTCTTTCCCTCTAAACGCTCGTGATGTTTGACATCAGTTTCTATCCCCATGGATACCTGTATATCCAGTTCTACAAGCGTGGGGCCACTGATGGTGATTTTCTCTGGACCAGACCGACGATATTCAACATTAACACCGTGAGACGAGTATTTTCCTGATAATGAAATGGACGTTCCTCGACTAAAGAGAAGGGCACCCTGCACCTTCACACCTACAAGAAAAAAAGCCATCTGTATGATGCCCTATGTTTACATTACAGTGTAAGACATTGTATCTATCTCTTAGTGTATAACGTTGTGTTTACATTTCAGTGTAAAGCATTACAGATTTTAGTCTAGTGTAATTCAATGTTGACGCCGATGGAAACGTACAGCTATTTTATGTCCTGCATCGCATAGGAAGCACAGGATATGCTTTAATGTTCTATAATTATGACATTACGCTTGATAAAACAGCGTCAATTCTAATAAGCCGCTATACAATGGTCTTAACCATTTAGTGATGTTCTCTGTAAAGATTCGCCTGCAAAACTGTTATCAAACATGATTTTAAAGAACACTAACAGTATACAGAGCACAAATGTATCCACAGCTTAGTGTATAGGAGAGTACAAATCACTCAAGACAGTCATGATTCACTTACTCATGTGACAATATGTGTTGTCATTGGTTACAACCACTCCTGTAGCTCCACGTGGAATAGACACCACAGTCACATATGCTAAAAAATATAATTACTATTATCATTATACATATTCCTCAATAAATTACAAATATGTTACCTTGTGGAGTGACTATATAGTATGATGATAGAAATCTGGACCTGCACTTGTGTTGAGACATAGAACCTACGTGCTAATCAACGTTACAGTCATATCGTTTGACATTTTGAAGAGCTCTGCTTCTTTTTATCGTCAAAAAGTGCTCTTTACTTAATCATCCATATCTCATTTCTATTAAAAGGGAGACATTTTTATTGTGATGGGAAATTTCTTTACAGAGAAAGGCGAGCATACGAGTACGTCCCTGACGTAGCGTCCAATTTCGATAGGACAAGCTAGACAAACTAAATTTTGATCGTGCAAAGTTTCTAACATTGGTCAGTGAAACCATTCGTTTACAAGACACAAATATAAATCGTGTGCATGTAATAAAGTCATGGTAAAAAAACAATGAATCGAATATTCTCATCTCACCAACGCTTTCAGACATTTAATCTACGTCCAACAGAAGAGGTTTTTGCACTCTCTGATGGGACCTCCAATCTTTTTACAAAATGATATGCGAACGTAGAGAGAAGCATGACCCAATAAACCAATGACAGTACTTTCTAAAAAAAATAAGTCTGTCAAACCTCGATTCTCTCCTTCTGTCCCTAACGTTAGCCTGCCTTGGTAACCTCCCTTAAGCCTGTCCCTGAATACCTACATTTCGCCTGATCCTAGTTTCCTACGTTTAGGTTGTCCGTGAACATTTACATTTAGGTTGATCCTAGTTTCCTACCTTTAACCTGTCCTTGGTTGTAGGTTCCGTGATGAGTAGTACACGTGTTACTCTGCCCTCCACATACTCCACACTTGTCAAAAACTCTGGCTGAGTTCAAATGTCCATCACAGCCAAATTTCTACGGATTGACAAAAAACTTAATTGACTCATCATAGGAAAAACTGTGTTGTTATCACAAATAGACTTATAAAGAAAGAGTGGAGAGCGCAGACGAAAGACAAACTTGGGGACACAGAGAAAAGTTCATGAAACAAATAACTGTTTCGAGTTACTGCATAGGAAGGAAAGCAAAACACATTAAACACCTTTATGACTATAGAGCTACCATACCATGATTATTCAATGAGCAGAAAGTTGGGCCGACCAAACATCACTAACTCACTAATATAATCTGAGAAAAGGCTAAAGCAACAAAAACGGCAAAATAACTTTTCGATAGACTATAACAGAAATGCATCATTATCCAGTGTTACCCACCCAATAGAACAGGCGCAGCGACAGAGAAAACATCCCATGGACTGTCTACCCAATACAGTAAGAGCAATGGCCAAGCAACCTTTTCCTTGTTTGTCCACCCTATACCGCTGAAGCAAACAACCTTCACTGGGCGGTCCATCCAATGCAGGAGGAGTTTCGCCCTAACAACTTTCTTCTATTTCCCACATAATACAGAATTAGCAACAGCCGAACAACCTTCCTTGGGCTGTCAATCCAATACATCAGGGGCAAAAGCCGAGCAACCTTCCCTAGACTGTCAACCCAATACATCGGGGGCAAAAGCCGAGCAACCTTCCCTGGGCTGTCAACCAAATACATTAGGGGCAACGACCAAACAACCTTCCCTGGGCTGACAAACAATATATAAGGGGAACGGCCGAGCAACCTTCCCTGGGCTGACAAACAATATATAAGGGGAACGGCCGAGCAACCTTCCCTGAGCTGTCAACCCAATATATAAGGGGAACGGCCGAGCAACCTTCCCTGAGCTGTCAACCCAATATATCAGGGGCAAAAGTCGAGCAACCTTTCCTGGACTGTCAACCAAATACATCAGAGGCAACGGCCGAACAACCTTCCTTGGGCTGTCAACCCAATACATCAGAGGCAAAAGCCGAGCAACCTTCCCTGAGCTGTCGATCCAATACATCAGGGGCAAAAGCCGAGCAACCTTTCCTCGGCTGTCAACCCAATACATCAGGGGCAACGGCCGAACAACCTTCCCTGGGATGTCAACCCAAAACATCAGGGACAACGGCCGAGCAACCTTCCCTAGGCTGTCAACCCAATACATCAGGGGCAACGGCCGAGCAACCTTCCCTAGGCTGTCAACCCAATATATCAGGGGCAACGGCCGAACAACCTTCCCTGGGCTGTCAACCCAATACATCGGGGGCAAAAGCCGAACAACCATCCTTGGGCTGTCAACCCAATACATCAGGGCAACGGCCGAACAACCTTCCCTGGTCTGTCAACCCAATACATCAGGGGCAACGGCCGAACAACCTTCCCTGGGCTGTCAACCCAGAACATCGGGGACAAAAGCCGAACAACCTTCCCTGGGCTGTCATCCCAATACATCGGGGGGGGAAAAGCCGAACAACCTTCCTTGGGGTGACATCAAAATACATCGGGGCAACGGCCAACCAACCTTCCCGGGGCTGTCAACCCAATACATCAGGGGCAACGGCCGAACAACCTTCCCTGGGCTGACAACCCAGTACATCAGGGGCAAAAACTGAACAACGTTCCTTGGGCTGTCAACCCAATACATCGGGGCAACGGCCGAACAACCTTCCCTGGGCTGTCAACCCAGTACATCAGGGGCAACGGCCGAACAACCTTCCCTGGGCTGTCAACCCAATACATCAGGGGAAAAAGCCGAACAACCTTCCTTGGGCTGTCAACCCAATACATCGGGGCAACGGCCGAACAACCTTCCCTGGGCTGTCAACCCAGTACATCAGGGGCAACGGCCGAACAACCTTCCCTGGGCTGTCAACCCAATACATCAGGGGCAAACGCCGAACAACCTTCCTTGGGCTGTCAACCAAATACATCAGGGGCAACAGCCGAGCAACCTCCCCTGTGCTGTCAACCAATATATAAGGGGCAACGGCCGAGCAACCTTCCCTGCAACCTCAGGGGCAAAAGCCTGTGCTGTCAACCAATATATTCCCTGTGCTGTCAACCAATATATAAGGGGCAACGGCCGAGCAACCTTCCCTGTGCTGTCAACCCAATACATCAGGTCAACCCAATACATCAGGCAAAAGCCGAGCAACCTTCAACCTATATAAGGGCTGTCAACCCAATACATCAGGGGCAAAAGCCGAGCTATCTTCCCTTGGCTGTCAACCCAGTACATCGGGGGCAAAAGCCGAACAACCTTCCCTGGGCTGTCAACCCAGTATATCAGGAGCAAAAGCCGAACAACCTTCCTTAGGCTGTTAACCCAATACATCAGGGGCAACGGGCGAACAACCTTCCTTGGGCTGTCAACCAATACATCAGGGGCAACGGGCTGTCAACCCAACCTTCCCTGGGCTGTCAACCCAATACATCAGGGGCAACGGCCGAACAACCTTCCCTGGGCTGTCAACCCAGTACATCGGGGGCAAAAGCCGAACAACCTTCCCTGGGCTGTCAACCCAGTATATCAGGAGCAAAAGCCGAACAACCTTCCTTAGGCTGTTAACCCAATACATCAGGGGCAACGGCCGAACAACCTTCCCTGGGATGTCAACCCAGTACATCGGGGCAAAAGGCGAACAACCTTCCCTAGGTTGTCAACCCAATACATCAGGGGCAACAGCCGAGCAACCTTCCCTGGGCTGACAACCAATATATAAGGGGCAACGGCCGAGCAACCTTCCCTGTGCTGTCAACCCAGTACATCGGGGGCAAAAGTCGAACAACCTTCCCTGGGCTGTAAACCCAATACATCAGTGGCAACGGCCGAACAATCTTCCCTGGGCTGTCAACCCAGTACATCAGGGGCAAAAGCCGAACAACCTTCCCTAGGCTGTCAACCTAATACATTAGGGGCAACGGCCGAACAACCTTCCTTGGGCTCTCAACCCAGTACATCAGGTGCAAAAGCCGAACAACCCTCCTTGGGCTGTCAACCCAATACATCGGGGCAACGGCCGAACAACCTTCTCTCGGCTGTCAATCCAATACATCAGGGGCAACGGCCGAACAACCTTCCCTGGGCTGTCAACCAATATATCAGGGGCAAAAGCCGAGCAACGTTTCCTCGGCTGTCAACCCAATACATCAGGGGCAAAAGCCGAGCAATCTTCCCTTGGCTGTCAACCCAGTACATCGGGGGCAAAAGCCGAACAACCTTCCCTGGGATGTCAACCCAATACAACAGGGGCAAAAGCCGAACAACCTTCCCTTGGCTGTCAACCCAGTACATCGGGGCAACGACCGAACAACCTTCCCTGGGCTGTCAACCAAATACATCAGGGGCAACGGCCGAACAACCTTTCCTGGGCTGTCAACCCAGTACATCGGGGGCAAAAGCCGAACAACCTTCCCTGGGCTGTCAACCCAGTACATCAGGGGCAAAAGCCGAACAACCTTCCCTGGGCTGTCAACCCAATACATCAGGGGCAACGGCCGAAGAACCTTCCTTGGGCTGTCAACCCAATACATCGGGGCAACGGCCGAACAATCTTCCCTGGGCTGTCAACCCAATACATCGGGGGGAAAAGCCGAGCAACCTTCTCTGGGCTGTCAACCCAATACTTCAGTGCAACGGCCGAACAACCTTCCCTGGGCTGTCAACCCAGTACATCGGGAGCAAAAGCCGAACAACCTTCCTTGGGCTGTCAACCCAATACATCGGGGGCAAAAGCCGAGCAACATTTTCTGGGCTGTTAACCCAATACACCAGGGGCAATAGCTGAACAACCTTCCCTGGGCTGTCAACCCAATACATCAGGGGCAACGGCCGAACAACCTTCCCTGGGCTGTCAACCCAGTACATCGGGGGCAAAAGCCGAACAACCTTCCCTGGCTGTCAACCCAATACATCAGGGGCAAAAGCCGAACAACCTTCTCTAGGCTGTCAACCCAATACATCTGGGCAACTGCCGAACAACCTTCCCTGGGCTGTGAACCCAATACATCGGGGCAAAAGCCGAGCAACCCTCCTGGTCTGTCAACCCAATACATCGGGGCAAAAGCCGAGCAACCTTCCCTGGGCTCACAACAAAATACAGTAGAAGCAACGACAAATTAATCTTTCTCTGGATTCTCCATACAACACAAATGGAGGCACGATTTAGGATCAAGTTACGTTGTCTTTGATTGCACACTGATTCAACATTATAATATCATATTAAAAAACTTACCTTACATTGTCCTTCAACACAGCGGGAAAAAGGGCCAGTTACTTTACAGTCCGTGCCGTCCTCGTACTTGTCAGCGCGGTAATCAACTATATTGGCATACTGGTCATAACATCTCATTGAACATCGATTATCTGTCAACATCAATATTAAGTTTGACTGGTGTGATATCAAAGGCTGAAATGCTACCGGAAATGGTACCAAGCCAGTTACTGTTGTTGCGAGCTGTATGTTACAGAGATTACTATAAACGTTTTTTGACCTACCAGTGAAATGTACACGGTGAAATACATGACTAACTATTTTAAAGTTGCTAACGGTAGGTTTTATCGTCTAAAGGGGTTAACAGGAATGTGACTAACCATTGTAAGGTAACCAATGGTAGGTTTTACCGTCGACAGGGAATCTGTTAGTTGCAGCACACTGCTCTGCCCGGAAGTCTGTATTGATAGGGCAACTCTGAAATCACAATTACAACGTCGTTATTGCATTCTGCAAACGGACAATAAAGCGCAACCAGAAAATACCAACATGTCAATATTAACACAATCCAAAATAAAATTCAGTTTAAACGGAGAGTCCTGAAAAAGTACAAGGAGAATAAGCAAGATGTTCCGGAAGAACAACCGCCTTCGGCTTAATCGACACCCGCCATGTAAACCTTGGTCAATCCAAGTAAATAATGTCACGTTCTCAAATGAGAACAATGTATAAAACAACGGAGCCAACAGGCAAACTAACGTCCAGCTTCACGTCTCACAAAGAAATAGATTTTTATCACTGCAGTAACTATGACGAGTGTAAATATTTTTCTTCAACCTGAAACTTTTGAAACCATATGTTACGAGTTTGTCCGTCAAATGACGACTTCTTGCAATCTGTTTATATCAAGTGTCACCACGAATCACCAACTCTAAACAATAAACCTGGCCATAAACATAAAACGTTATCAGATTTATATATAAACAATTTTCATTTACAATATCAAATCTTAAAAATTGATGACTTAGAGCTAAATATTCACTTATATACCCTAACTTCCTCTTCCAACATCTTTAGAACTAATAAGAAAACAATCAGAAGAACAATCAGATCCACACCTTAAATTTATATTGAATTACTATCTATAATACCTCTAGTGTTTTATTTTACAAACCCTCTGTGTCATGATATTCTCTTCTGTTGCATAACCTTACCTTCATGTTACAGAGCTTGGCCTGGGTGCTTTCTCCCGCGCAGTTTCTGCCTCCATATCGTGGCCTGCAACAAGGCATTTTGATATAATTCATATTATTTCAGGTTCCCTGGAAACGGGCTAAACATTTTATTTACCACCCAGAATTTTTTGACTACATTGCAATATTTCAAAAACACTCCAACCCAGAACTGGGTTGTTCTACTTACTCTGGGCTGGTGCATTTCCTATTTTTTACTCGAACTCCACCCCCACAGGTCCGGGAACATGGCGTCCATTCTGCACTCCAGGATGACCATCCGCCATGGACAGGTGCAGGGGCACCAGACCCCATTGCGACACACTGACCACCTATACACCACTGTTATGAATAAACGATCAGAATTGTGATATGTTAATGACAATTAACTGCTGTCATTAAATTAATATCGCTAATTTATTGATGGGACAATTGGCCCTTGGTATCTATAACGGGTTCGAATCTCCAGTTGTGGTTGTTATCATTGTAAATGAATGAAAAGTGTGTCGCTGTATTCCATTGGTCTGGTTACGATAAGCGTACCCCCTGATATGACTGGTACGTAGCTAATGTGACGGTTTTTATGTATCATTTGTTATGATTGGTTAGTTGCCAATTACTTACCTTTCTGTGTCCACATTCTGTTCCGTCTAATCTTATAGGTCCACCACGGTAACAAGATCGCTGGCGATTTGGAATGATTGGTCCGTAACACACCAACATCTTACACTCATTCTAAATTTGGGATAACTATTTATGATAACAACAATATCAAAGAATACCATTAAACACTACTTCCGGCTACTTTCAGCTAGAGGAACTCCTAGACACACAGAGATATGTACGAAACTTGATGAAGTTGATATTGATTTCCGAAGGATATCTGCTAGATAGCGAATATCATGGACATTTTTAGCGAATATGTTCATTCGATCGGTTGCACTTAAAACGTTGAAATAGTTTAAATCTCGATTACTGAGATGAATGATTGTACCAGTGAATAGCACCTTCATCTACAGAAACAGTAGACAGGTAATCATAGAAATGCCAACAATCAGCTTGATGCTTTCTGCCTTCAGTTTCGATAATACATTATTTTAAAACACTTCAAGAACATTTGTATATTCCGAATCGTGACTAGACACAAAGCTGAATTAGAAACAGTGGCTGAAAATAACAATATGTAATTGCTTCAAATGAATGTGTATCCTTAATCATTGTCACTTGTGAAGCGATTACGAGAAATATTGTCCATAATAAATGATAAGGAAGTTTCCTCTGGGTATCTAAATGTATTCCATTAATTCGGTACTTACCCCAGTGGTAAGAGACGTGCCCTCACACAATTTGCTATTAGGATCTTCCATAGCCATTCGGCACTGTTCATCACCGGAATATACAAGTCCGGGTTTCTGGGCAGTATTGAGCAAAGAAAACGCCCAGGCGGGGGGCTGGTCACTTAGACAGCTACTTACAGGAGACCTGAAAATCAGAGTATAGCTTATCAATCGTAACACTTATTTCAGAATTGTCTATGTATTTGTTATCACTGCATATTAGTAAATGTAAAGTTGGCATACTTTATATATATATATATATATATATATATATATACTCCCCAACCTATGGTGGTACACGTCGCAGTTGATTCGATATCCAAGGGCCTGTTCCCATTATCACTATATTCGTACAAGAAGTCAACTGACGGACAAACTCGAAACACAGGGTTTCAAAAGATGCAGGTTAAAAAAAAAGTTTATGGCCGTCTAGGTGATCTCATTGAGAAATACTCTGTTTTGTATTAGAAGCTCGTTTGTTTATTTGATGGTTCAATTGTTGTATCCTTTGTTCTGATTTCGGAACGTTACACAACTTACGTGGATTGATCAAAGTTTACATGGCGGGTGTCGTCGATGAAACGGAAGATGGTTACTCTCCCGTAACACATGGGCCTGTATTCATGAAACCGTTCTCATGCTCAAGCAATAACTTTGTGCTCAAGCCTTATATCTTGTTTAAGTTAAGAATTAAAAAATAAGGCAGATTTCGCAAAAGATTTTATAAAAAATGAAAGGACTTAAGTTATATTAAAAAAAAAACAAAAAAGAACAAAAACAAAAAAAAAACAAAAACAAAAAAATGGTTGAGCACAAAAGTTATGGTTGAGCATGAGAATGGTTTCATGAATACGGGCCCAGGCTGGTCTTATACTGCTTGTACTTTTTCAAGAGTCTGCAAATACATCTTTCCTTTGGTTTATATTTTCTCCTAGTTTGATTGGCTTTGAGTATGGATGATGGCGATGTTGACATGTTGGTATTTGCTTGTTGTTATTTATTGACTTTGATTTGGATGATTACATTGACATGATGGTATTTTCTTTATGTTTTATACCTACTTCAGGAAACTGGTGAGGGAGTCTTTGCTACACGTTGACCACTTTATGCTTGAGTGACCACTGGCTCCCTTGGCAGACATAATGTTGATCCCCGGAATACAAGCATTGCTTTCACCGTCGTGTACCATATTTAACCTGAAGAAATGTTTCAAAACGTTTTGGTAATCAGTAAAAAACGAAATATATGCGTCATTCTTTCCAGTTTTCGAATGAAGGGCAAAGATACCCAACAGGTCAACTTCAGCAAAAAGATATACTGACTTTACTTTGTCTATATATAGAAATCTATCGGTCATGTACCTTGCAAATACAGTCAAGAATTCAATTAAAAAATGACACAACAAATCCTAAATAATTAGCCATTCATTTCCTATTTCTATTCATAATATAATTAAAAGGTTTATTTCATTAGCTCCACAAGGAATTTGTCGACAGAAGCATCACGGCTTCCAAAAATTGTGCTTATATATTGCAGTTGAATTGATATTCGAGGAAGATTCCAAACATCAGGACGTCCGTTATTCGTCAGCTTATAACTCGTTGTTTCCGTAGTAACTGCTGGTTTTCTAGTGTCCATATCTAATTCTTTGTTTCCATCTTAGTTTTCCTTGTTTTTTTGACATTTTTGAAGTAAAATATTTTGTAGACATGACTGTATTTCTTGCAGGGTTGTAAAAGATTCAAATCGATGAAAATTATGAGGAAGTTTTATGGTCGCCATAGTGATCTCATTGAGAAATATTCTATATTTTGTGCGATATGAAGCTGAACATTTTTTACACTCGTTAGTTTCCCTGTTCGTTCCGTAGTTGTACACTGTGTTCTCATTTGAGAATGTGACATTACTTACTTGGATTGATCTAGAGTTACATAGCGGGAGCCATCGATGAAGTAGAAGACGCATACATTTCGGGAACACATGGTGTTATTCTCCTTGTGCTATTTCAGGAATGTTGGTATGAATCTTTCTTTTTTTATTGTTAATAATTTGTCCTAGTTTCTTGGAATTTGAGTTTGAATTATAATTCTGCTCACATATTGGTATTTTCTTAATGTTTTAATATAAAATAGTTTAGGGGCGGTTTTCGTTGTAAACGTCTGTTCCCCACATACTTCTGATAGAATATTCTACTATTTCACTTTCTTCGCCGCCGTAGTTTTCTTCAAACTACAAACATGCAATGGACCTATTATTATTTGAGTCTGTTTTTTTCTAGAGCCTTACATACGGTGATTACATTGTGTGGTTGTGACAATGATGTTTCATAGTTTGTGAAAAACACAAGACAGACATCCAAATTGAGGTATTGTCTACAAAGGTTCAAAGTACGTCATCTAGAGAATTCTCATTTTTTGTCGATAAATTCATTTGTAAAATTGTCTTGTATACTAACTGATTACGGGCGATATCACGCTGTACTATTTCCTCCGTAACCAAGGTATTTTTCTTGTTCTACATGTAACACTAATTCTAGTATCATTGTATTTGTGAAAGATGTCGATCATCGATGGACTGACACCATGAAAAAAATGAAGACTTGTTTTACTGACTAATAGAACGTGTTGATTGCCATGGTTCACACATTGAGAATGCGACATTCCCTCTATTGTCTTTGCTTGTGTTTCTACGTAAATTTTATGTACTTATCTTGCTTTGATAATTTGGAGTTTTAATTCCCGAGGTATGTAAATGTAACTGATTTGTTTCTTGTGTACGTTTTCTCTAACCTACAGACTACTTACATGTGGCCTGTTTCGTGGGCAATGGTCAGTCCAAGGTCAAGTCCATTGTCTTCATTAACGGAACACCTGTAGTTGACCTTACAAAACCCTCCAATGTGTCCGAGTCCAAGGTTGGACGAATCTCCCTTGTACTCAAGGTCTAACCTGTTGATAACATATATTACACATTAAAAGCCTACGTGTTACTAGGTAAATGTTGACAAAGATTTATTATTCCGGTAGAGGATATACAATATTTTATTAAGTATATCTAGTGAAGGGGGGGGGGAGGCTGACATACTTTGTAATCAGCAGTGCACCATCAGCGAATTGAGCGTCGTCTTCTGATGAAGGTTGACGTTTTTCATGCCAGAAGCAGAAACTGTTTAGCAGTTGTTCTGAGTCGGCTATAATTGACAGTCCGGGTTGATCATTCTGGAGTAGTAGGATTTGTACCACTGCCGTCCGGATGTCGTGTCCTAACGTCGGGTCCAGGAACCTCTGAGCTGCCTGTGGGTTAGAGTTCTAATTGTGAGGAAGTTACCGAGTATCAAATATGTAAGTTATATATCATCAACGTGTGGAAATTAACTTAAAGAGGAAGGTAGTTACAGAGTATTGACAATGTTGGTTAGAGATCAGCGATGGCCGTCATTTAACTTATAGTGGTAAGGTAGTCACAGAGTATTGACAATGTTGGTTAGAGATCAGCGACAACAGTCATTTAACTTATAGTGGTAAGGTAGTCACAGAGTATTGACAATGTTGGTTAGAGATCAGCGACGACCGTCATTTAACTTATAGTGGTAAGGTAGTCACAGAGTATTGACAATGTTGGTTAGAGATCAGCGACAACAGTCATTTAACTTATAGTGGTAAGGTAGTCACAGAGTATTGACAATGTTGGTTAGAGATCAGCGACGACCGTCATTTAACTTATAGTGGTGATGTAGTCACAGAGTATTGACAATGTTGGTTAGAGATCAGCGACGGCCGTCATTTAACTTATAGTGGTAAGGTAGTTACAGAGTATTGGCAGGAGATAATTGGGAGGTGTCAGTTTACTTACGACATTGAGGGAGGTAAGAGCGTATCGTTTGGCGTCACTTCCGTGGTATTTTGTGGCGTCCGGTGCTAACACTATGCGTAACTCCATGTAGTGCGGCCCTTCAGCTGTTCTTTTTGCCCGCCTGGCATTCACTGGTTCGAATGGAGTCTCTGGGTTGGCAATAAAAAATAACCAACATTAGAAACGATAGTTAATGGCATTGATTTGTGAATAATTTGCAATGTGAACAATTGGTTTTATTGAAAACAAACATACCTTGTGTTCCACACGTGCCAGACGAGGACTGTCCTCTCCTCCTATATACCAGGTGAGGTAGTCCGGCGTGTCCACTCCGCCGGACACGACTCACATGTACCTGTCTGACCGGCTGGATGACGAGATCGTGGTCAGGTAGTCTTATCAGTCCGTGCTAAAATATAATCATAAGTGCATTAAATAAAGACATTAAATTCGGAATGTTTTCAGTCAGTATTCCACCTCTCCAATGATGTGTTGATGGAATACAACAACAGAAAATTACGTAAGACCTGGCGCAATGAGCATTTTAATGAAATTCTAAATAAATTTAAACAAACAACGCGGTCCTTCTTTGTACAATTTAAGTGTCAATTTTCAATTTTGAGGGTCAAGTAAGCGTCAATGTCTTTCTCATTGATGACATCCGCCAATTAATCCGAATAATGTCACGTTCTGTAATGAGAACTACGGAAGTCTCAGTACCAGTACTTACCATTCCCAGACATGTGCTGACAGCCACTGAAGAGTCGGTCTCGTTTTCCACGTGACCATGATAATAACAATGGTGTTCCCCTTGATGACATGACGAGATTTCACTAGTACCATTTGCCTGTTTCGCCAGGACCACACAACCTACAAAGGAGAGAAACCATGGTTAGTGTATCATTAATGCTGACAAAGATGTCGGTAACCTTTCCCGAAAACAGTTCCTTAAATAAGTTGTTCACCTCGCAGGTGATTGGTCAGTTTAGACATTTTTTTTTTCTCTCAATAATTTAGCAATATTGAACAAATATACATGGTTAGTATATATAAGTATTGGAAACAAACTTAAAGCTTACATAAACTCCTGTTCCAGGTCTGGTGCTATTTCGTAATTACGACTATACTGGTAGGTACCTAGCTGCATTGGCTACATAACACTGCGATTGGTTGTAAATGAATTGGGTACCCTGCACTGTGATTGGTTATTACTAAATTGGTCATCTAACGTTGTGATTTGTTATAAATGATCTGATCACTCGTTGCTGTGATTCGTTACATTTAAACGAGTTTAAGTTACCTGGCGCTATGAGGTGCTCGTTTCTCTGTAGAATTATGTGGTAGCTGTGGTTGAATGCTTTAATCGTATACTGATGCCAGGGCGATGAGGTTGATTGTGACGTCACTTCCGGTGGACCTGTAATCTCATAATCTGGCACTGAAACATGACATGTAATCATTGAGTAACACTTCTAATACAAATTTAATAAATAATGGCTTATCATTCTGCTGCTTCCGCCTTGTAGGACTGATCAATAACGAGAGAGACCTGAATGGTGGTAATTAAGAAGGCGGCGAAGAGAATCAAATGGATTGAAACAAATGTAGACTGCGATGTGTATTACCATATAATGTCCAGGTACAGATTGCAAAGTATACTATCCCCACAATGTCCAGTTACAGAGTGCAAAGTGTACTATTCCTATAATGTCCAGGTACAGATTGCAAAGTATAATATCCATATAATGTTCAGGTATAAATTGCAAAGTGTACTATCCCCACAATGTCCAGTTACAGAGTGCAAAGTGTACTATCCCTATAATGTCCAGGTACAGATTGCAAAGTGTACTATCCCTATAATGTCTAGGTACAGATTGCAAAATGTACTGTCCCTATAATGTCCAGTTACAGAGTGCAAAGTGGACTATCCCTATAATGTTCAGGTATAAATTGCAAAGTGTACTATCCCCACAATGTCCAGGTACAGATTGCGAAGTGTACTATCCCGACAATGCCCAGGTACAGATTGCAATGTGTACAATCCCTATAATGTCAAGGTACATTTTGCAAAGTGTACTATCCTTAAAATGTCCAGGTACAGATTGCAAAGTGTACTATCCCCACAATGTCCAAGTACAGATTGCAAAGTGTACTATCCCCACAATGTTCAGGTACAGATTGCAAAGTGTACTATCCCCACAATGTTCAGGTACAGATTGCAAAGTGTACTATCCCCACAATGTCCAGGTACAGATTACGAAGTGTACTATCCATATAATGTCCATGTACAGATTGCAAAGTGTGATATCCCTATAATGTCCAGTTACAGAGTGCAAAGTGTACTATCCCTATAATGTCCAGTTACAGAGTGCAAAGTGTCATATCCCTATAATGTCCTGGTACAGATTGTGAAGTGTGCTATCCCTATAATGTCCAGTTACATAGTGCAAAGTGTACTATCCCTATAATGTCCCGTTACAGAGTGCAAAGTGTCATATCCCTATAATGTCCAGGTACAGATTGCAAAGTCTGCTATCCCCACAATGTCCAGGTACAGATTGCAAAGTGTACTATCCCCACAATGTCCAGGTACAGATTGCGAAGTGTACTATCCCGACAATGCCCAGGTACAGATTGCAAAGTGTACTATCCCTATAATGTCAAGGTACATTTTGCAAACTGTACTATCCTTAAAATGTCCAGGTACAGATTGCAAAGTGTACTATCCCCACAATGTCCAAGTACAGATTGTAAAGTGTACTATCCCTATAATGTCCAGTTACAGAGTGCAAAGTGTGATATCCCTATAATGTCCAGTTACAGAGTGCAAAGTGGACTATCCCTATAATGTCCAGTTACAGATTGCAAAGTGTACTATCCCTATAATGTCCAGTTACAGATTGCAAAGTGTACTATCCCTATAATGTCTAGGTACAGATTGCAAAGTGTACTGTCCCTATAATGTCCAGTTACAGAGTGCAAAGTGGACTATCCCTATAATGTTCAGGTATAAATTGCAAAGTGTACTATCCCCACAATGTCCAGGTTAAGATTGCAAAGTGGACTATCCCAATAATGTCCAGGTAAAGATTGCAAAGTGGACTATCCCTATAATGTACAGGTACAGATTGCAAAGTTTACTATCCCGACAATGTACAGGTACAGATTTCAAAGTGTACTATCCCTATAATGTCCAGGTACATATTGCAAAGTGTACTATCCCCACAATGTCCAGGTAAAGATTGCAAAGTGGACTATCTCTATAATGTCCAGGTAACGATTGCAAAGTGGACTATCCCTATAATGTACAGGTACAGATTGCAAAGTTTACTATCCCGACAATGTACAGGTACAGATTGCACAGTGCACTATCCCTATAATGTCCAGGTACATATTGCAAAGTGTACTATCCCCACAATGTCCAGGTACAGATTGCGAAGTGTACTATCCCGACAATGTCCAGGTACAGAATGCAAAGTGTACTATCCCCACAATGTCCAGGTACATATTGCAAAGTGTACTATCCCCACAATGTCCAGGTAAAGATTGCAAAGTGGACTATCTCTATAATGTCCAGGTAACGATTGCAAAGTGGACTATCCCTATAATGTACAGGTACAGATTGCAAAGTTTACTATCCCGACAATGTACAGGTACAGATTGCACAGTGCACTATCCCTATAATGTCCAGGTACATATTGCAAAGTGTACTATCCCCACAATGTCCAGGTACAGATTGCGAAGTGTACTATCCCGACAATGTCCAGGTACAGAATGCAAAGTGTACTATCCCCACAATGTCCAGGTACAGATTGCGAAGTGTACAATCCCGACAATGCCCAGGCACAGATTGCAAAGTGTACTATCCCTATAATGTCAAGGTAGAGATTTCGAAGTGTACTATCCCCACAATGTCCAGGTACAGATTGCGAAGTGTACTATCCCGACAATGTCCAGGTACAGAATGCAAAGTGTACTATCCCCACAATGTCCAGGTACAGATTGCGAAGTGTACAATCCCGACAATGCCCAGGCACAGATTGCAAAGTGTACTATCCCTATAATGTCAAGGTAGAGATTTCGAAGTGTACTATCCCTATAATGTCAAGGTACATTTTGCAAAGTAGACTATCCCTATAATGTTCAGGTATAAATTGCAAAGTGTACTATCCCCACAATGTCCAGGTAAAGATTGCAAAGTGTACTATCCCTATAATGTCCAGGTAAAGATTGCAAAGTGGACTATCCCGACAATGTCCAGGTACATATTGCAAAGTGTACTATCCCGACAATGTACAGGTACAGATTGCAAAGTGTACTATCCCTATAATGTCTAGGTACAGATTGCAAAGTGTACTATCCCCTAAATGTTTAGGTTGCGAAGTGTACTATCCCCACAATGTCTAGGTACAGATTGCAATGTGTACAATCCCTATAATGTCAAGGTACATTTTGCAAAGTGTACTATCCTTAAAATGTCCAGGTACAGATTGCAAAGTGTACTATCCCCACAATGTCCAAGTACAGATTGCAAAGTATAATATCCATATAATGTTCAGGTATAAATTGCAAAGTATACTATCCCCACAATGTCCAGTTACAGAGTGCAAAGTGTACTATCCCTATAATGTCCAGGTACAGATTGGAAAGTGTACTATCCCTATAATGTCTAGGTACAGATTGCAAAGTGTACTGTCCCTATAATGTCCAGTTACAGAGTGCAAAGTGTACTATCCCTATAATGTCCAGTTACAGAGTGCAAAGTGTCATATCCCTATAATGTCCTGGTACAGATTGTGAAGTGTGCTATCCCTATAATGTCCAGTTACAGAGTGCAAAGTGTACTATCCCTATAATGTCCCGTTACAGAGTGCAAAGTGTCATATCCCTATAATGTCCAGGTACAGATTGCAAAGTCTGCTATCCCCACAATGTCCAGGTACAGATTGCAAAGTGTACTATCCCCACAATGTCCAGGTACAGATTGCGAAGTGTACTATCCCGACAATGCCCAGGTACAGATTGCAAAGTGTACTATCCCTATAATGTCAAGGTACATTTTGCAAAGTGTACTATCCTTAAAATGTCCAGGTACAGATTGCAAAGTGTACTATCCCCACAATGTCCAAGTACAGATTATAAAGTGTACTATCCCTATAATGTCCAGTTACAGAGTGCAAAGTGTGATATCCCTATAATGTCCAGTTACAGAGTGCAAAGTGGACTATCCCTATAATGTCCAGTTACAGATTGCAAAGTGTACTATCCCTATAATGTCCAGTTACAGATTGCAAAGTGTACTATCCCTATAATGTCTAGGTACAGATTGCAAAGTGTACTGTCCCTATAATGTCCAGTTACAGAGTGCAAAGTGGACTATCCCTATAATGTTCAGGTATAAATTGCAAAGTGTACTATCCCCACAATGTCCAGGTAAAGATTGCAAAGTGGACTATCCCAATAATGTCCAGGTAAAGATTGCAAAGTGGACTATCCCTATAATGTACAGGTACAGATTGCAAAGTTTACTATCCCGACAATGTACAGGTACAGATTGCAAAGTGTACTATCCCTATAATGTCCAGGTATAAATTGCAAAGTGTACTATCCCGACAATGTCCAGGTAAAGATTGCAAAGTGTACTATCCCCACAATGTCCAGGTACAGATTGCGAAGTGTACAATCCCGACAATGCCCAGGCACAGATTGCAAAGTGTACTATCCCTATAATGTCAAGGTAGAGATTTCGAAGTGTACTATCCCTATAATGTCAAGGTACATTTTGCAAAGTAGACTATCCCTATAATGTTCAGGTATAAATTGCAAAGTGTACTATCCCCACAATGTCCAGGTAAAGATTGCAAAGTGTACTATCCCTATAATGTCCAGGTAAAGATTGCAAAGTGGACTATCCCCACAATGTCCAGGTACATATTGCAAAGTGTACTATCCCGACAATGTACAGGTACAGATTGCAAAGTGTACTATCCCTATAATGTCTAGGTACAGATTGCAAAGTGTACTATCCCCTAAATGTTTAGGTTGCGAAGTGTACTATCCCCACAATGTCTAGGTACAGATTTCGAATTGTACTATCCCCACAATGTCTAGGTACAGATTGCAAAGTGTACTTTCCCGGCAATGTTAAGATATGGATCGAGAGGTGTACTAACTCTGAAATGTTAAAATATAGATAAAGAGGTTAATTAACCCTGTAATGTTTAGAGATAGATATAGAAGTGTACTAAACCTGTAATGTTTAGATATAGATAGGGAAGTGTACTAACCCTTTAATGTTTAGATATAGATACAGGAGTGTACTAACCCTGTAATGTTTAGATATAGATGGAGAAGTGTATTAGCCCTGTAATGTTTAGATATAGACAGAGAAGTGTACTAACCCTGTATTGTTTAGATATAAACAGGGAAGTGTACTAACCCTGTAATGTTTAGATATAGATACAGGAGTGTACTAACCCTGTAATGTTTAGATATAGATGGAGAAGTGTATTAGCCCTGTAATGTTTAGATATAGATAGGAAGTGTACTAACCCTGTAATGTTTAGATATAGATAGAGAAGTGTACTAACCCTGTAATGTTTAGATATAGATGGAGAAGTGTATTAGCCCTGTAATGTTTAGATATAGATAGAGAAGTGTACTAACCCTGTATTGTTTAGATATAGATAGAGAAGTGTACTAACCCTGTAATGTTAAGATATAGATGGAGAAGTGTATTAGCCCAGTAATGTTTAGATATAGATGGAGAAGTGTATTAGCCCAGTAATGTTTAGATATAGATAGAGAAGTGTACTAACCCTGTAATGTTTAGATATAGATAGAGAAGTGTATTAACCCTGTAATGTTTAGATATAGATAGGGAAGTGTACTAACCCTGTAATGTTTAGATATAGATACAGGAGTGTGCTAACCCTGTAATGTTTAGATATAGATAGAGAAGTGTACTAACCCTGTAATGTTTAGATATAGATAGAAAAGTGTACCAATCCTGCAATGTTTAGATATAGATAGAGAAGTGTACTAACCCTGTAATGTTAAGATATAGATGGAAAAGTGAATTAATTCTGTAATGTCATACATGGTTACGATAAATCTCGTGTACGGCAGTTCGCACAGCAGTGTTTATCCTCTCTATCCGAATATAACTCGTTTACCATACATCTCACAAAACCAGTCTGGTTGCAAATAAGTGTCTACTTTGCAAAAGTTATGTGTCTTTGAAGTGGAAAGTTTGCAAATTGCAAAGAAAACCAGTTTGTCTGAAAGGACATTTTATTGTACCTAAATCGTTTTGTGAGAAATATCTTTTTCATTTCTTTGCAATTGATTTCCATCTTATATTTATATATAGCTTTAAAGCTTAATACAAAGTCCATGGGTGATAATGACTCGGTACATTACTACCACTACATGAATGACTTATCTCCAATCCCTGTTGTTGAGTTTAGTTTCCTTTGACCTTCGTAATACATTATTACAAATGTGATATAAAGAGTAGCCATCAACTCACAGAAAAACAGGTAAAACATATTCTAGAAAGAGATTGGCTCATTTTAAAACGCGTTTAGTCACAGGAAATGAACCAGTAAATAAAACGGACATGGATTTAGAATGGAAAATAAAAAATGTTTTGCTCTTTACTAAATTAATGAAAAATTAAAATTTCTTCTTTCAAATACTGTTATACCTGGTGTTATGATACTGACATCAGATTAAGAACGTATTCTGAGATAAGATTAAACATAATTACCTTCATGTTCAGCTTTTGTTCCAAAGTAATGTGACAGATGTTCTTCAGAAAGGCCCTCGTGAAACTGAGGATAAAAACCAAGGAAATCATTCTAATACAACAATAACATACCGGCATCTACAACGATAGAACTAGGACAGGGTGGTGATAAAATCAGGATTCTACAACGATAGAACTAGGACAGGGTGGTGATAAAATCAGGATTCTACAACGATAGAACTAGGACAGGGTGGTGAAAAAATCAGGATTCTACAACGATAGAACTAGGACAGGGTGGTGATAAAATCAGGATTCTACAACGATAGAACTAGGACAGGGTGGTGATAAAATCATCATTCTACAACGATAGAACTAGGACAGGGTGGTGATAAAATCAGGATTCTACAACGATAGAACTAGGACAGGGTGGTGATAAAATCAGGATTCTACAACGATAGAACTAGGACAGGGTGGTGATAAAATCAGGATTCTACAACGATAGAACTAGGACAGGGTGGTGATAAAATCATCATTCTACAACGATAGAACTAGGACAGGGTGGTGATAAAATCAGGATTCTACAACGAAAGATCTAGGACAGGGTGGTGATAAAATCAGGATTCTACAACGATAGATCTAGGACAGGGTGGTGATAAAATCAGGATTCTACAACGATAGAACTAGGACAGGGTGGTGATAAAATCATCATTCTACAACGATAGAACTAGGACAGGGTGGTGATAAAATCATCATTCTACAACGATAGAACTAGGACAGGGTGGTGATAAAATCAGGATTCTACAACGATAGAACTAGGACAGGGTGGTGATAAAATCAGGATTCTACATCGATAGAACTAGGACAGGGTGGTGATAAAATCAGGATTCTACAACGATAGAACTAGGACAGGGTGGTGATAAAATCATCATTCTACATCGATAGAACTAGGACAGGGTGGTGATAAAATCAGGATTCTACATCGATAGAACTAGGACAGGGTGGTGATAAAATCATCATTCTACATCGATAAAAATAGGACAGAGTGGTGATAAAATCATGAAGATTTTCTGTTGTTGTTTTGTACGTAAATGATGTTGTAAGATCGTTAAATTCATGGATCAACTCATGATCTGCGATATCGTGGTAGAAAATCTCGTGGTTGCAAATCTCATGGTTGACAATCTCGTAGTTGGCGACCTCTTGGTTGATAATCTCGTTGTGGGCGATCTCGTGGTTGATAAGCTCGTGGCGGGCGATCTCTTGGTTGTCAATCTCGTGGTTGGCGATCTCTTGGTTGTCAATATCGTGGTTGGCAACCTCTTGGTTGATAATCTCGTTGTGGGCGATCTCGTGGTTGATAATCTCGTTGTGGGCGATCTCGTGGTTGACAATCTCGTGGTTGACAATCTCGTGGGTGGCGATCTCGTGTTTGAACATCTCACGAGATTGCTACAAGCGTAGCTGATTCGTGTGGTCATTTATGTAGACGATCTCATAGGAACGTTACAGGTGTGTGCAATCATGTTTCGACGGTATAGGGCCATGGTTCAAAGAATGGTACAAGGAAACGTGGTTTTACATTGCCGAAAAGCATCACAATGCGCTACTTTCTATAATGAGTACATGAGACACGGGGTAAGATGTAAGATTCAAAATTAAAGTACTCCTCGATAAGCTGAAAAGTTAGAAGGTGATTTACTTGTCGTAAAAATGTCTCTTTTGACAGTTAAATAAGATCGGGTAGTATAGTGTCCTGTCTGTATTCTTGTCTACTCTGTCATCACCCAGGAGCAGCCCACGGACCTCACTATGACATACTAATTAGGTCGGAATCCACATACCACCCGTCCTCTTGTCACCACCGCCGAACAAATGTTGACTTAGCCAGTATAAGTAAACTCGACTTTCTCTTATTGAGTGACGCTGGCTTTTGATGTGCTCTGATTTAATCACCTGAGTCCTGTGATATATGTACTGAGGTTAAGGACGAGAGACATTTGTACTCTTTCACGCCAACATTTCTTCCGTGGACGTGCAGGGATGGTCCACCCAGGTGTCCATTTCAACAACGTTGCCGCTATTGTTTTATTCGATCTATTTATTTCCAATTTTAAGCAGTGTTGATATATACATATAAACAGTATTTATCTCACAACATGACAGAGCAAAGGGAACGACATTGTTTAAATTACACATGTCTACAAATATATGTACAAGGCTAGATTTTATCATTGTCAAATTTGAAAGATGAAAAACGAACAAAAGAGTTGTTATACTCGTGCATCTCTCTTCCTAACAAACATCTAAAATTTACAACCATAAAGAAATCACGTGTTAATTTCACTCTCCAGAAGACTCCCTGTCTGAAAAGCATTAGTCAGTCAATAAGGGGGACACATGTAGTCGCCCTCCCAAGCATTAGCATTCAATATATCGAATTGCTTAAAAAATGTCCCAACTCCGACCTCAATCCAACAATGACTAAAACTGGACAAAGAAAGTAAATTTCATGTTTATATCAAAATAAGCACATTTTCATCTATAATAAAATAAAAATGTATATTCTATATCCAGTGTTGTAATTTTACCCTTATCATAAACAAGAAATCTGATTCCAGGCAGGGATGTCGTTGTATACGCGGCCAACACGCTTGTATTTATTCACTAATTGATACCTTATTTGTCTGAAAGCTCACACATGTCGACTTGTTTTACTAGCTTTGCTACACCGAGTCGGGATGCCTATTTCCGGATGTTCATATATATATATATATATATATATATATATATATATATATATATACATTCATAGTGAGCTACAATGTGAATGTATACTCATGAAATAAACATTAATGTTACTTGTCTAAGGGAAGTCATTTTTTCTCACTCTTCCTGATACTTAAAGCTACATTGTATAGCTATGTACTCTTTCTAGGACTTGTCAGTGATACTAAGGCCATAAATTGTTACAAATGGTCACAGAGGCAAAGTCATACTGTTCAAAATAAATGGCAAAAACCAGATAGGCAGGTGCATTAACCCAATATCTAAGATTTAAAATTCAATTAATTTGAATATTCTTGATACAGAATTATTTCAAAGAACGACAAATGCATGTATATTGTGAACTGTGCTACTACTGAAATGGATAGTTCTACTAAGGGGTATTTCACAACACAGTAACTGACATTATGTACTGTCTACGTCACAAACAGTAACTGGCATTATGTACTGTCTACGTCACAAACAGTAACTGACATTATGTACTGTCTACGTCACAAACAGTAGCTGGCATTATGTACTGTCTACGTCACAAACAGTAACTGATATTATGTACTGTCTACGTCACAACACAGTAACTGATATTATGTACTGTCTACGTCACAAACAGTAACTGGCATTATGTACTGTCTACGTCACAACACAGTAACTGATATTATGTACTGTCTACGTCACAAACAGTAACTGGCATTATGTACTGTCTACGTCACATCACAGTAACTGGCATTATGTACTGTCTACGTCACAACATAGTAACAGACATTATGTACTGTCTACGTCACAAACAGGAACTGACATTATGTACTGTCTACGTCACAACACATTAACTGACATGATGTACTGTCTACGTCACAAACAGTAACTGATATTATGTACTGTCTACGTCACAACACAGTAACTGATATTATGTACTGTCTACGTCACAACACAGTAACTGACATTATGTACTGTCTACGTCACAACACAGTAACTGACATTATGTACTGTCTACGTCACAAACAGTAACTGATATTATGTACTGTCTACGTCACAACACAGTAACTGGCATTATGTACTGTCTACGTCACAAACAGTAATTGACATTATGTACTGTCTACGTCACAACACAGTAACCGACATTATGTACTGTCTACGTCACAACACAGTAACTGACATTATGTACTGTCTACGTCACAAACAGTAACTGGCATTATGTACTGTCTACGTCACAAACAGTAACTGACATTATGTACTGTCTACGTCACAACACAGTAACAGACATTATGTACTGTCTAAGTCACAAACAGTAACTGGCATTATGTACTGTCTACGTCACAACACAGTAACTGACATGATGTACTGTCTACGTCACAACACAGTAACTGATATTATGTACTGTCTACGTCACAACACAGTAACAGACATTATGTACTGTCTACGTCACAACACAGTAACTGACATTATGTACTGTCTACGTCACAACACAGTAACTGGCATTATGTATTGTCTACGTCACAACACAGTAACTGACATTATGTACTGTCTACGTCACAACACAGTAACTGACATTATGTACTGTCTACGTCACAACACAGTAACTGACATTATGTACTGTCTACGTCACAAACAGTAACTGATATTATGTACTGTCTACGTCACAACACAGTTACTGACATTGTGTACTGTCTACGTCACAAGCAGTACCTGGCATTATGTACTATCTACGTCACAAGCAGTAACTGGCATTACATAGGTAGCTATGGTTTCTATTATAAGTCAAAAATAGGTTATCAATTTTACAAAGCAAGAGTTAAGATCATAACCATAAAGAGACAAAAAACAATAAACCGTGATTGATTACAGGAATTGATCAAATAGCAGATACAAACAAGCGAATAACACACTTAGGTAGCAACTTAGTAACAGATACAAACAAGCGAATAACACACTTAGGTAGCATCTTAGTAACAGATACAAACAAGCGAATAACACACTTAGGTAGCATCTTAGTAACAGATACAAACAAGTGAGTAACACTTAGGTAGCATCTTAGTAACAGATACAAACAAGCGAATAACACACTTAGGTAGCATCTTAGTAACAGATACAAACAAGCGAATAACACACTTAGGTAGCATCTTAGTAACAGATACAAACAAGCGAATAACACACTTAGGTAGCATCTTAGTAACAGATACAAACAAGTGAGTAACACTTAGGTAGCATCTTAGTAACAGATACAAACAAGCGAATAACACACTTAGGTAGCATCTTAGTAACAGATACAAACAAGTGAGTAACACTTAGGTAGCATCTTAGTAACAGATACAAACAAGCGAGTAACACTTAGGTAGCAACTTAGTAACAGATACAAACAAGCGAGTAACACTTAGGTAGCATCTTAGTAACAGATACAAACAAGTGAGTAACACTTAGGTAGCATCTTAGTAACAGATACAAACAAGCTAGTAACACTTAGGTAGCAACTTAGTAACAGATACAAACAAGCGAGTAACACACAACTAGGTAGCAACTTAGTAACAGATACAAACAAGCGAGTAACACTTAGGTAGCATCTTAGTAACAGATACAAACAAGCGAGAAACACACTTAGGTAGCAACTTAGTAACAGATACAATCAGGCGAGTAACACACTAAGGTAGCAATTTAGTAACAGATACAAACAACTGAGTAACACACTTAGGTAGCAACTTAGTAACAGATACAAACAAGCGAGTAACACACTTAGGTAGCAACTTAGTAACAGATACAAACAAGCTAGTAACACACTTAGGTAGCAACTTAGTAACAGATACAAACAAGCGAGTAACACTTAGGTAGCAACTTAGTAACAGATACAAACAAGCGAGTAACACACTTAGGTAGCAACTTAGTAACCGATACAAACAAGCGAGTAACACACTTAGGTAGCAATTTAGTAACCCATACAAACAAACGAGTAACACACTTAGGTAGCAACTTAGTAACAGATACAAACAAGCTAGTAACACACTTAGGTAGCAACTTAGTAACAGATACAAACAAGCGAGTAACACACAACTAGGTAGCAACTTAGTAACCTATACAAACAAGCTAGTAACACACTAAGGTAGCAACTTAGTAACAGATACAAACAAGCGAGTAACACACTTAAGTAGCAACTTAGTAACCGATACAAACAAGCGAGTAACACACTTAGGTAGCAACTTAGTAACAGATACAAACAAGCGAAAAACATTCTTATGTAGAAACTTAGTAACAGATACAAACAGGCGAGTAACATCCTTACGTAGCAACTTAGTAACAGATACAAACAAGCGAGTAATATACATAGTAACAGAAAATGCATCTGATTCATAAAAAAACATTCTTTTGTAGGAACTTAGTAACAGCTACGAACAATCGAGTAATATCCTAACATAGCAACTTAGTAACATATACAAACAAGTTAGTAATATTCTTCTGTAGGAACTTAGTAACAGTTACGAACAATCGAGTAATATCCTAACATAGCAACTTAGTAACATATACAAACAAGTTAGTAATATTCTTATGAAGGAACTTAGTAACATATACAAACAAGCAAGTAACACACTTAGGTAGCATCTTAGTAACATATACAAACAAGTTAGTAATATTCTTATGTAGGAACTTAGTAACAGATAGAAAAAGCTAGCAACATCCTTACGTAGCAACTTAGTAACAGATACAAACAAGCGAGTAATATACATAGTAACAGAAAATATATCTGATTCATACAAAAATATTGATTTAATAAATCTAGTACTTTTCACCCAAAAGGAGGAAATCAGATTGGAATATAGTTAGATACCAACCTTCTAGTCTAATACGATATTTTTTTATGTGATAGTATAGAAAATGCCATGTAATATTAAATCTATTTGGTAATATTTCATATTAGTTATTCCTTAGCTCTTTTGATATTGTATTACTATTCGCGTTGTTATTTTCCTTATTTGAAATAATCCAACAATCTGAGAGAAACAGTTGTTCCACTATAAATGATACTGACAAGTTGTAAACAAAAATGCGCTTAAACCTCCGAAATAAGACAAGTAAAGATTAGAATTTTTAATTAAAGAATTGATTCAATGGAAAACATCAAATATGACAAAACAAAGTCAAATGAAAATTAACCTGAGAATTATGGAAAATAAATGTTGGACGGGTAAAGATTATCAAAAAGTAAATTTAAAATGATATCGCTACCTAAAGTGACAGGTAACCATGAAGTTACTCTAACGATATATCGGAATCGCTATAAACAGAGACCAACCAACTTTATATAATTGTCAAAAACACTGCGCGGTGTTAGGATAAGGACAGGAAAAGGGTTCTGTATATCTTCAGAAAGATCAGATATTGAGTACAAAGCAAAGGAAGAATCGCCGATGTGTAAGCTGCCTTATTATACTTTTAAAAAATCAACTATAAAACAAACAATGAGAAATTCGAAAACACGCAGTGTTCCGGAAGGATAAGGCGTTTTTACTTTATCGACAACACATAGTGAGTAGACATTGTTATACAGAAAAAAAAAATGTCACGGTTCTACAATAGAAGAGATGTGGTCACATATAAAGCAGCTGGTAAATTATTAGAGACAAATCAGTTTTCACTCTGTACGATCAAAATGTCGACTTAGCTGTCATCTTTATAGATATTGAAATTCGTCGAAGAGGTTAACGTATAAGTATTTATTTGTATTTATGCTGCTTCATTTAGGCAATTGTTTTCTTACCTGATTAGCATCTGCTAAATTCAGAATCATCACCACAAAAACCAATTGCAAACCCTTCATATTTGTCCCGAAAACGAAAATATACTGTGGAAGTATCCGCTGTTGGCTGGAATCACTGCAGATCGTGTTTAGATCTGGTTGGAGACTTGCATCGTTGATGATTCTTTAATGTATTAGGCTAATATTCTACAGTTATAAGAGGCCCGATGGCCTTATATACATGTTACACGTTAATTAAAGGCAGTAAATTCCTCGACAATGCTCATTGATATCAGTCTGTAAATAACGGGGCCAGATAACGCCACCCTGCGTACCACCGTCACACAGAAGTCTGTCCCGTACATCAAATAGGACACTCCTGCCTGTTCATTGGTTCTTCTTACGTGGAAACACCACCCACCTGATATTTCCTCCTCACAACATGCTTTATGTAATCACGTGTTATGTAAGAAAACACTTTTTGTTTTTCTTCATGAAATTTGTACTTTGCTCAAACCGCCCAATAAAATTGCTGTTCACTAATTTTAAAGCTTCCTAAACAGGCAATGAAGCGATGGCATGCTTCACCAACCTTGTAGGAATTACTTTATTTTTAAACCAGAATTCATCTTCACCTTGATAACTCATTTAAGGAACAAAATCAGAAAAGGGGACGTACAAACACACACACACACACAATCAACAGAGCGTCTGAAGGAACTGTAGGTACTAACCTGTCATCTTTCAAAAATCCCTGTAGTAACACACACGTCAACTATAGAAATGTTAGGAGGCATCGACACATTACGGCCGTGGACGACGGCAATACAAGTATATCAACTTCAGGGTCTTTCCAATTAGAAACAATACAAATATATCAACTTCAGGGTCTTTCCAATTAGAAACAATACAAGTATATCAACTTCAGGGTCTTTCCAATTAGAAACAATACAAGTATATCAACTTCAGGGTCTTTCCAATTAGAAACAATACAAGTATATCAACTTCAGGGTCTTTCCAATTAGAAACAATACAAAAAATAACCAATCAGAGACAAAAAAAACTTCATATTGACCTTCATAGTTAGAGTTAGAGAGACTTTAGATATGGCTGTGTGCTTCATCAAAAGGTAAGATTGCATAATTGGTATGTGGTTTCTTCGAAGTTCTATATTTAATGTTCTTCTCTCTTTTATTAAATGTCTCCTCTGTTGTTCCAATGCCTTTTAATGTCTCGTTTTGCTCCAATGTTGTGATTTAAATATTTCTACTCCTGCTGACGCGAAAACACAATCATTCTTGACAACTTTTAAACTTGTCTACAATCGGATGCAGTGGACCTTAGTCACATCTTAGATATGACGTAAATAAACTTTCCTCAGTGTGGTGTTATTTCGTTTTCTCCTGGCAATTTGTATCAAATAATGTCCCTACTTTATGGTTTGCCTGACGCTTTCATTGAAAATGACGTTCTGACAGTGTTCGTTTTCCTCTGACTGAGTATCAGGTCCTTTTTCGCTTGCCAATTTAAAGAATATGGGGCGTATGCGGGGTAATTTTTTTTCAGACAGTACTGCATCAAAAATACCAAGTAACATTTGATCATTTAATGGTTCAAACACGAATATGAATCATTATTGATATGTTGAACCATGTTTTTTGTAATTATGAGGTTTAAAAGAGGAACATTTTTATTTAAATGAGATATGTGATCAGCAGCTATGCTATGTGTAGACAGCTGGTATTACCTGACGCTGTGTTGTTAAAGTTTGTTTCTGATGTTCTCATTGTCTTACTGTAGAGTTTATGTTGCCATTGGTTTCGAGATGACTATTGAATTTTCTGTCCGTTTTCTGACAATATTACAGTAAAGTTGTTGTTAAAGACTTAGATGGCTGTTCCTGATGCCATAGAAAAAATCGATAAAATTTGTTGAAATTAGTGGTTAATTGCTGGATATAAGTATGATGCTACGATGTCCTAACTCTGGACGTGCTTGATACTCGTTTGTGTGAGGCTCGTTTGTTTGACGTTCGTTTGTATGATATTCGTTTGTGTGAGGCTCGTTTGTTTGACGTTCGTTTGTATGATATTCGTTTGTTTGATACTCGTTGGTTTGATACTCGTTTGTATGATATTCGTTTGTTTGATACTCGTTGGTTTGATACTTGTTTGTATGATATTCGTTTGTTTGATACTCGTTGGTTTGATACTCGTTTGTATGATATTCGTTTGTTTGATACTCGTTGGTTTGATACTTGTTTGTATGATATTCGTTTGTTTGATACTCGTTGGTTTGATACTTGTTTGTATGATATTCGTTTGTTTGATACTCGTTGGTTTGATACTTGTTTGTATGATATTCGTTTGTTTGATACTCGTTGGTTTGATACTTGTTTGTATGATATTCGTTTGTTTGATACTTGTTGGTTTGCCTGTTGCTCCCGCTGTTGCAAACCGTGTTTTCATTTGGGAACGTGACACAACTTACTTGGATTGACCAAAGATTATATGGCGCTTTTCGTCCATGAACCAGAAGACATTCATCCTTCCGGAACACCTGGTCTTATTACCTTTGACTTTTTCAGGAGTCTCCGTTGTTCATATTTTGCCCTTTTTATTGAATTTGAGTTTGGAGTATTATTATGTTGAAATGTTGGTGTTTTCTTGTTGTTTTCTGGAACAATAATATTTTGTTTTGTTGCCTCGAATACTAGGACGTGCTAAACGCAGTAGGTCGCTATAAAAGTCTTATATTATTGAATTTTCGCGAGTATTCTTATCTAATTGCACGGCATTACTTACTTATTCCATAAGCAAGTATTGTCTTGTCTACCTGTAATTTAACGTCATTCACAGAGGATATAACTGCCATGTCAGTACAATCCAATCAAACTGCTAAAACAGCGGTTCGTATTCTTCGCCTCGTGTAGGGAAGATTTTAGGTCGAGTTTCACTATAGACACAGACATTTAAGGAATTGTTTTGTCGTCATCGCCATGTTGATGATTAAACATTAAGCGATAAACAGCATTTATTGTCAATTATACAATAGAACTGTATCGCAAATGTTCTTCTTTTATAATACGTTGATCCCCATGGAAACACATCAAGTTACTGTAGTGTTTCAGTTGATGTGGCTGCTTTCCTTATGTTATGTCGTAACTCGCCGTCCGTCGTCCGTCAATAATGTCTTCAAAACACTATTTGGCATAACCGATTGAGTGAATTTTGACCAAATTTGGTCAAAAGTATCATTGAGTAAAGGAAAATCAAGTTGGTATACATGGTGTGTAGAACCCTCCCGGGGAATGAAAGTCAGGATCAAAAAGGTGAATTTGTTACATTTTGGACTGAAGCATCCTTTGATGAAAAGGAATCGATTTTGTGTAGACGGCGGGTCTTGGCATCATGGAGCACAAGGGGTGGGATCAATAGGGGAAAGAAAGAAAAATCTACAGCAATAATTTGATTTCTTTCCAAAGTCGATATTAAAATTCTTTGGCTGAAGAGAAATCAATTTTGCATTAAACATTTGATCTCGACTCCCTAGATGAAATAGAACACATTCTTTAAAATCTATCTTCTTTTGAAGGTATCCCAGTTTGATCTGAATCACTTTTGGGTATCTTGTTTAAATGGTTTCGCTGGTAAATGGAATAAAAGTAGATATACACCTTTACAATTTATTTTTCTTTAGTTCGAATTAAGCAATTTCACTGGAAAACATGAAACCGATACAATCGCAAATCTGTCAATTTTCAATGTAATTTGTTAAGCATTGTTGGCCTTACGGCCCGGCAATCAACAAGCTTAACCAACATTTTACAGCATGGCGTATCCAAACCAAAGTGACTGAGATATTCAATTATTTTCACTTGTCTGGCTTTTATGTACATATTTACCCTGAGAGTCAGTTCTTTGATATACTTTACTCTAAATACCAGCATCAATTTAAATACAGCTGGAATTTTCTACTGGTAAGTTTGATGTACAATGTACCTATTTGTAGAAATTGTATACCATTACGTTAAAGAATATCACGGTATTTATCTTAAATGTGTCATGTTGTAGTGTACATGTTATAGAATTGTCTATCCGGGGTATATCATGGTACCGACCAACTCATCAACAATATCAAGATACACGTACTTTAGTTAGACAAATTTGATATTTTCTATCATAAATTAAATGGCAGAGAAGCCTTATCAATAAACTGTGTATAAATATGACTGATAAATGTTGTCGACCCTGGTCACAAATTCGCTGTCTGGTGAGCGTTAAAGTATCTGTAGAGTAATGGGCATACCATATCTTGTTTTCAAATACACATATTAAACCTAGCGAAAAAAGTTAATTCTTTAACAAAAATAACCCATTTGAAACAGTGTCTTGTATTTCCGTTTCTTTACAAATCTAATACACAATTCAAAATACAATTTCCAGAAGTTAGTAATTCAAACCAGTATTTAATCATTCTAAAGTTCCTGTAATATTCAACAGGAAGACGACTTCATTCACAATTTGCCAAAGGAATTGAGGTCGATTTTTTAAAATTAAATATTCGTCTACAAAATAAAAAAGAACTCTGTCAATTGCATTTTATGATCCCCATATCACATTTAGAATATAAAATGCTGCCAACATGCTTATCAAGACGTGAAGCATATTTTTAATATTACATCATTTTGTAAATAGTGGAAACATCGCTTTTCTACCATGGTTAGAAATCTGCTTTTGAATACTATAAAATATGTAATTAAACTGCGGTTTATCCCTAGATAACACAGATTGTGTCTATCGGTATAAAGTAACCTTCGTTTTATCAATATTCACAGTAAGATTCCAACAAAAAGAAATCAGAGATTTATACGCGATTTTACTTTCCATATCAAGACTAAATAAAATCCACTAGTTTTCGTCATATTCCAAATTTTGAAAGTTTGAGCCACATGTTAACTCGATCAACACAGTAAAACACTTTTTGGAAATCAACACAACAGCAGTATAAACAAACATGGAGACGCTGTGACTTTTTTGTGAGGAGTTTGGGCGTTTGTTTTATTTACATTATCGTGGTAA